TACGATAGTACGCTACCTTAATAGTATAGATCTCTCTATTAAGGGTTCGCGCTATAAGATAGAGGCGTACTACCTAGCGACAGTACTCCTCGTCGCCCTCCGCGAGGGCGCGTACGTCCTCTACGGAGCTTGCCGGATAACTAGCCGTAATCTCTCTCTAGATCTTATTATAGGTATCCTTCTAGCGTTAGACGGCGATTACCTTGTTTAAGAGTCTTAGTACGGTCTGTATACAAACTCGTTAGTAAGGCGAACCCCTAGCGAGTCGGACGGACACTTACCCTTCCTACGCTATTATAGCCTACTTTGTTGTTGTTCGCGTAGCTATCGTATATACGGTATATAGGCGTATTATACACTCGCCCTATAGCGATCGACTTTGCGTACCGTAGGTATATAGCTACGTACCCGGTTTTATCTTAGTCGGCGTCCGACTAGCTATAGTCCTAGTCGTTAGGCACTATATCCTTTATATATACGGCGGAGAAAGGAATCGTTACGTACCTCCGGGTAAACGCTATAATAGTTAAAGGGGCCTAATAAAGCGGCAGAACCGGCGAGGGAAACTAAGGGACAAGAGGGGCTATAAAGAGTAAACGAAGAACGAGAAGTAGAAGTATAGCTATCTAGATATAGTAGTAGTAGTAGAGTTGCAGGTAGGTAAGGATATTAGTACGTAGTAGGTTGTTAATAGGAAGGAGTAAGAGGATCGCAGAACGCGCGACGAACCTATTGAAATACTCTATCTCTATAGCGATACTACCGCGTACTCCCGACTACTACCTACGGAATTCGCGACGCGACTACAAGCAAACATTCTTAGCGACGCTTCGCGACAGCGCGAACATAAGAGGGAGTTTGTATACAATGTTTACTAATACTAAGGTATAGACATTCCGTAGATATACGCTAGCTCTACGCGGTACCTAGCTAAGAGTAGACGTCTACCCCGTTCGTAGGGCGAATACGTAGAGGACTAATAACCTGTCGCTGCTAGGGATATTAGCTCTAAGAGGGGGCGTCTATAATACGCTAGAGCAGACTCGTAGAGAAGCCCTAGCGAACCCCCGGCGAGGCGGGCGGGGCGTACTACGCGGGCCGGGAAGCCCTCGTAGACCTCCGGCGATCCGGTATAGAAGGGATACTCTACCGATCGGAGACGTTCTAAATCAAGAGGGTTCCTAAGGAAACCGGTTATCGGCTGCTGCCTAAGAGGAGGCGGTACCGGTAGCGGGGAGTAGACAATAGAATAGCTTGTATATATAGCGAGGGCCCTCCTCTAGGAAGGAAGGGCAGAGTTATTATACCTTAGATAGCAAGCCGTATATTGTTTATACCTTTTATACCTCGGACCTCTGTTACGTATACCCTTACGCTTATAGAACTATTATACTATCTATCTCTATCTCTATCTCTATACATATCTTACGGGTAGATATCTATCTATCTCTATCTCTATCTCTATCTCTATCTTACAGGTAGATATCTATCTATCTCTATCTCTATCTCTATCTCTAGCTCTATCTCTATCTCTATCTCTATCTCTAGCTCTATCTCTATCTCTATCTCTATCTCTCTATCTCTATCTCTATCTCTCTATCTCTATCTCTATCTCTAGCTCTATCTCTATCTCTATCTCTATCGCTATCTCTATCTAACGGGTAGATATCTAGGGCCGCCGGAGTAGTCGCAACGGATAGATATCTAGAGCCGCCGGGGTAGTCGCGACGGGTAGAGATCCTAGGCTACTAGGGTAGTCGCGACGGGTAGAGATCTACGCGTTGCGTTCGGAGCGGGCAGGACGTTTCTAGAACGGAGCGTCCGACGTCAGACGCTCCGGTCCTATAGTTAGGGACGATAAGTACAATACTAGAGTTCTTATCGCCTAAGAGGCTATAGAGGCTACTTAAGCGCTTCTTAGTACTCTAACTTTATAGGAGATCCTAAGTAAAGACCGAGAGTAGACAAAAGATCTTATAGAACGGATTAGTAACTTAGATACAATTAGCGATAATAAGAGAGATAGGGTAGAGGAGCTAAGGCGATCGGTACGCCTAAGCTTTAAGCTTATATAAGAGTACCTCCGGGATACTACGAGACGATTATAGCGAGCTTAGTTTAAGCTTGTATAAAGTTTACCTGCCGACTATATTTACCGACTATAGTACTTAAGTTTCAAAATATTATAAGCTATAACCTAGCGTATATATTCTTCTATATTTATTTATTCGATCTAACTACTCTCTTTATCCTCTTATCTATATCGGGCTTATATATAGTTTCTTTTCTAATATCTAGTTCAAATAACTTACTCTTAGGGCACTCGGTTTCTAGGCTTTTTCTTTCTGTTTACGAAAAATCAATACCTAATAGGTACGTAATACCTACTAGGTATCGTAATACCTACTAGGTTTGTACCTAACCCGATAGGTTAGGTATACCTAGCTAAATACCTATACCTATTAGGTATTGCTAATACCTAACCTATCCTATATACCTACTAGAGTAGGTTGTACCTATAATAAGGCCTAGGCAGATGTCTATCTATCTCCGTCTCCGTCTCTATCTCTATCTCTATATCGTAGGTAGATATCTATTTATCTCTATCTCTATCTCTATCTCCGTCTCTATATTATACGTAGATATCTTTCTCTGTCTCTATATCTATATTATAAGTAGGTATCTAGGGCGGCCGGGGTCGTCGCGATAGGTAGAGATCTACGCGATCTCTATCTTAATCTTATAGGTAGATATCTATCTCTCTCTATCTCGGTCTCTATCTCTATATTATAGGACGGGTAGATATCTATCTCTCTCTATCTCGGTCTCTATCTCTATATAACGGGTAGATATCTATCTATCTCTATCTCTATCTCTATCTGTATCTTATAGATAGATATCTATCTATCTCTATCTATCTCTATCTCTATCTCTCTATCTCTATCTCTATCTCTATCTCTCTCTATCTCTATCTCTATCTCTATCTCTATCTCTCTCTATCTCTATCTCTATCTCTATCTCTCTATCTCTATCTCTATCTCTATCTAATAGGTAGATATCTAGAGCCGCCGGGGTAGGCGCGACGGATAGAGATCTAGGGCCGCTAGGATAGTCGCGATAGATAGATATCTAGGGCCGCTAGGGTAGACGCGTCGTATCGGAGCGGATAGGACGCTTCTATAATAGAGCGTCCGACGTCGGACGCTCCGGTCCTATATTTAGAATAATACTCCGCTACTCCTAGATAATAAGTAGGACGATAATAAGCAGGACGAAGATAAGTAGAAGCAAGATAAGCAAGATTAAGATATCCGAGATTAAGATATCTAAGGTCGAGACTTTTAAGCTAGTTATAATTAAGAAGAGCTAGATAATAATTCTAGCGATAATAAGCAAACTCTTAAGCAGAGGCTAGAAGCCTATACTAATAAGCTAGTAGCGGCAGCTTACGCGCTTACTATTACAAAAGAGCGTTTAGAAGATAGCTTACGCCTTACTTAGGAAACTCTTAAAGGAGACGCAAAGAAAATTATATATTAGTATTATCGTTAGTAGCGGCTAAACTTTAAGGATCAACTTTATACTTATTAAAAGATACAAGACGCTAAGATAGAGGCCTTAAAGTAGTAAGCAAAGGAGCAAGCTACTCTAGATACTTAGCTACTTACTAAGAACTAAGGTAGTTTCTATCCTTAGTATATAGTAGCTTATAACTATTATTAATTAGTTAGGGCTTTCCTTATTATTCTAGTAATCTCTTTTTGATTAGTATATATAGTCGGTATATATAGTCGGCAGCTACAATAAATATAGAATATATTCCTATTAAATTCTATGCTCTAGGAATTAAGTAGTAGGTATATATACCTTATTAATATTGTTTTCTACTATTTTGTAGGTATTTAACTCGTATTATATAATACCTATTGTAATACCTATTAGGTATACCTACTAGGTTTTTACCGTTAGGTTATACCCCGCTTATAAGCTAGATACCTAGCTTATTTGTAGGGTTAGGTATTTAAGTTAGGTTGTACCTAACCTATACCTAACCTAACCTATAACGAGGCCTAATTATAGAGGATATTTGTATAGTTTTAGTATAGAGTTTTCTAGAGAGATTTAGTATAGAGTTTTTTATAGAGATTTAGTATAGAGTTTTTTATAGAGATTTAGCGTAGTGTTCCTAATATTAGAGGGATAGACAATATACTATTAGCTATACCTATTAACGAAACCTTCTTTTACCTACTATCTTACTACCTCCTTTTACTAACTCCTACCTACTAACTTAGAGTTTATATAGTAGGGTCGCTCCTATAGTATAAACTTACTAATTACTAATAGTAGAATAAATAAAAAAAATTATAGATACTCTAGTCCGCCGTTATTATTAACTAATATTTAATTATATAAAAATTTTTATAAGGCAAAACATAAGTTATATAACTACTATAATATTATAACTTATTAATAACTATACCGTTCCGCCGAAGAAGAACATTATAGTTATAATAAGATATAATAAAATATTAATTAGACAACGGAGCATTATATTAATAGACGGACAACCCTTCTAGTCTACTATTCTTATAGTAGGCCTACTTAATTGTACGACTACCCTCCTATAGGATAAACGTACGTTAGCTATCTAATTAATATTTAATACCTTACTCTATAAGCCTATAACCTTACTATACTAACTAGGTAAGATAAGTTATTAGGAATTTAAAAAACTTATATACCTTAAAGAATTTGGTAGCTACTTTAGCTAAGTTAGTAGGGCGCTTCGTACAACGAATTTTAGGTACTAAGCTACTAGTCTAGAAATGCGCCCGCGGTCCTTAATACTCCTAGTAAGCTATAAATTGATTTAGTATCTAATATACCTACCTGTGCCTTATATCTTTGTACTTAAGCGACATCGGTTATACCCCTAACCTTGACCTAGTTACTAATACCTTACCTTCCTCCTTGTCTTCTCTCCTACCTCTCCGCTACCTATATCCCTAACGCGCTCGCTATGCACATCTTGGAGGCCTTTGATTTTGACGTCGTCGATAAGACTGTCTTTAAGGACAATAAGGAAGTAAGCCCGCAGCACCTGCAGCTCATCGCCAACCTCCGTCACGCAGCAGCAAATAGCGATCTTTCCGCGGCCACAGAAGCGTTCACGACTCTCCGCTATACGAGTGCAAGCCCGAGCACGCTGCAAAAGCCCGGAAATGCTTTAGAACTCGCTATCGACCGCAGAGACGAGCGCATGGTCGCCTACCTTCTGTCCGAGGGCGTTCGTGTAGGAGCGGAAGACATGAGAGCTGCGGTTCTGTTGCGAGCCAAACCGATCATTCGCCTCTTGCTCGACCATGGATGGCCCATTAATGCAAAGTTGGGGTGGTACGAACCACCCGCGATGGCGTAAATAAGAGCTTTCTTACATACTCCTTCAAAGCTGACCAGCAGGCATAGTCTCGCGATAGACGACCTCGAGCTAGTCAAATGGTTCTTGTCTCTAGGGGCTGATCCTAACGCTCCGTGCGGCATCGACATAACGCCTTTGTCCGTCGCCGTCCACAAGGGTCCTCTCGCAGTAATCGACACGTTGTTTGCTCACAAAGGCACCGTAAATCGCGGCCAGCTCCTACACTGGGCTGCTCTGCGTAGACAAGACGATCGACTTGCGGTTGTAAAGCTGATCCTCCAGAAAGGCGCAGCTGTAAATTCGATTCTTTACGAGAACGACGAAGACTCATTTATCCAGCGCAAATCCTTCTCACTTGGTACTCCATTGCATGAAGCGGCTAGAGTCGGTCATCTAGATGTAGTACAGCTGTTGCTTGATCACGGCGCAGATGTTACTATTAAAGACACACGAGGCGATCTCCCGTATGATGTAGCCCTCGAGAATGGTCACCATGTCGCAACACAGCTTCTGATGCTATAGTCCGGCTAAACACTTCAGAAGGAACCCGTAGAGCAACGGGGGCTGTACCCGAGGAATCCGTCCACACACGGCTCTTGCGGTCGAGCACACGAACTTTGGAACGTTGCAGAGATGTCTCACCATCGCCCGACGGTATATGATACCATTTCAGAAAGCAAGGACTCATTGGGTACAGTGCTATCGGCCTTTTCGAACCCTCTCTACTGTACGCTGGACATCTCGCAGCCCTTCAAAAAGGCGGACGATTCCTGCAGGACGCTTCGATAGAGGCGACGCATCGGGAACGTAGACAGGCACCGATGGCGATCGTGTAGCAAGTGCAACAGGCACAAAAGCCCGGAAGGTCTCGAGCTCGTTGCAGCTTGAGATCTTCCGGGCGGAGATGTCCGCTATATTTGAAGGCGAGAACGCGAAGCACGCGATCCTCTAGGCGCCCGGATGGGAACAGAGCCTAGGAAATTCCGGAAATAGGTCTGCTTCTGTCGAGGCACTTTGCAATGCGATGAGCACCTAACGAAGTTCCGCAATAGTGCGAAGAGGAACGCAGTGAAATTCGCAGAGTGGCCGAAGATTTTGACTGTAGTGTTGTTGTGCGCAACGAAGAAAGCGAGGATCTTCTAGTCAACCTCATCCGCAGCAGAGATCTTTTGGTAGGGCTTGACGACGGCCTGAACGGCAATACTGGCGCTGTGCATACACTGTCGCTCCGCTTCTTGTATCCAGTCGCTGCCTACAACTTCGCAAGTTAAGACGCGCCTTTCTCAATACTGGCTTGGATAGGCGGGAGACCAGGGAGATCTTGTGGCCGTTTCCTCTTCGGACTTTTGTCAGAGATGACGCTCTTTGGTTGACTGACGCCGACGACAGAGGAACGCACGTCTAGCTTCGCTATGCGTTTGGCCTTCGAGAGAGTCGTTTTGGTAACTCGATTGCGTGTCCCGACTGCTATATACGACAACGTGGAACTCTAGGATCTTGATGATATACATGCAGGAGGTTGTAGGCACCGACTGAGACCGTCGAGCCATTGCCGCAGGTTGATCTGAGAAGGAATAGGGGCAGCGCGTAGTGATATCTCGACTCCAAAACAATGAATCGAATTTGATAATCCTAGCTTCGAACAGTTATTGTTCGGGAGACTCTCGGGCAACGGCGCGTGTAGATTCTATATAGAATCTACCTCCAGCCGGGTCAGTGCATACTTCAGCCATTGAGCTCGGAGGTTCCTCCTACCTTAAGTCAGGGTCAATACAGGCCCGCAAGCCGGCGATGAGATTTCGCTGCAACTCGCTTGGTATCAGAGTGTCACCGGCAACCTTGTGTAGGGTGATTGGGTGATCAGCTACGTCTGACGTGAAGGAAAGAGGAACAGATACCTCTAGGGACTGGCACGTAGAAGCGTCAATGAACGCTTGCTTGGTAGTGCTTCTTCTCTTCCATTGAATAACCTGTTCAAGTGCCAGTCAATCTACGCTTCATCCTCTCTTTAGCTTCATTGGGCCTACTCAATCATACAAATCGTGTTTCCCGCTGATTATTAGTATCATATAGCTCCACGTTTGCGATGTACTCCAGCAAGCTAGGCACTCTGGGACGGACCGCGTCCGCTTTATGAACGTTATCCTTGCCTGAGACGCACATTTCAGGTATTGGTAGACAATCAAGCTCTTCGTCGAGATTAGGCTGTCTATGCCGTTCATTCCCTCACAGTCGCGCGTCGGGGTCTATCGACAACCTCCTCAAACTCCAATAGCACCAGGGGCCTTTTCATCCTTCCTCAAGCTGATCAACAGCTCCCTCATCTTTGCTTTCCCACTCCCAGCAGCACCTCCTGCTGACCCCTTCCCACTCAGATCTACCAATTTGGCAATCCTCTCCCAGCTCGTACCCCCTGCAGTCGTGTCTTCTCTCGACTTCAAGAACTCCTCGGCCTCTTTCCGCGTCTGCGCAATCTGTTTGTCCTTTCTGTTGTTGTATTGCTCGTAAAAGTCATCAATAGCCTCCTGAGCAGCCTTGACAGTCTCAGCCTTCTTGCCCGCACTGACTTCGTCGCGATGTTGAATCTGCAAATCGCGTCGCTCACGCCATTCTCGAACAACGTCTGGTTCAGACTCGTACTCTTCGGGCCGTGGTGCCTGGAACGGGGCGGCTGAGCCTGTGATGGTGCCGCCTGGCGCGACTTGTTCGTTCTGTGACATGCTGACAGCCGGAAAGGAGCTCTCGAAGTCGCCCATCATATCATCGTTGTGGACAGCGGATGATCCATTGGTGTTGCCTCCGCCACCTAGTAAATCATCGTCGTCATCTCCATCAGCGACTGTTGCGGTATTGTCGGCGGAGGATGTGAATTGCTCGGCGTCGTCGCCTAGGGCTGCGCGTTCTCGAGCGAGGAAGTCGGAGGGCTCGTCGATAGCGTCAAGAGCTGATGGGCCAGTGGCCTCAGTCTTGCCTAGTACCCAGCATTAGTGGTGCTCAAACAGTGGGAGACCCAGGGGAGAGAGTGTACCCTCGTCAAACTCCTCGAGCGAAGGGAAGCGATCGGCCATGGTCGTGATGTGTTTTGTAGAGTTTGTGTGCGATTCCAATTGTCTGTCGGTTGCTGAAGGGAAGTGCGCGTGAAAGGAGCAGTCGTGATGTGGGTGAAGTTGTTGTGTTCAATACGGAGGTACAGAGACACCCGCTGCTACCTACTAATGATGGAACCCGTGGACCACTTCAGCCGAAGCTTCGCCGGAGCTGGTTTCCCTTCCCGCTTTCACAGCTCTCACTCTCTTTCCAATCCTCACTTACCTCACATCCTCTTCAACACATCGCACTCCTCTAAATACGTGTGCTGCGCATAGAACGTCTCTCCAGTCGCGCCAGTGCAGAACAGATATGGCTTACAATGATGATGCCGTCAAGGCGAAGCTCACGTCCCTCAACGAGTCGCAAGACAGCATCGTCACTGTCGCGCAATGGATCATGTTCCACCGTCGTCACGCCGTGCAGACTGCAAAGCTCTGGCTCAACTCGCTTCAAGAGTCACCCAGTGCAAGCCGACGCCTCAATCTGCTTTACCTTGCCAATGAAGTTGTGCAGCAGTCTCGCGCTCGCGGTAAACTGGACTTCAAAACTGCCTTCGAACCGCTCATCGCCGACGCAACCGCTCTCGCCTACAAGGGCGCAAACCAGGACATTCAAACCAAAGTAAGGAGAGTGATTGATGTGTGGCGGTCCAGAAACATTTTCGATGCGCCCACACAACAGGGTATCGAGAAGAAGATGGACGACGTAGACAAGACAAAAGGCTCCAGTAAGCTAGGGGGAGGACCTGGAAGGCTGGGGGGAAGCTTGTTTGGGGGAGGTGGAAGCGGCGGAGTCGCGCCTGAACTAGACGCCATCAACAAGAACCAAGTTGCGGTCAACAAAGCAGAAGCGGCATACAAAACACCAGTCACCGCTGCAAGCGCAAAGTACACTGAGACGATCGATCCATCCACTCCTGTGCCCAGTGCGCCAGTTCGAGCCGCAAAGTTGCGAGGGCTGGTCAAGGATCTGATGGCGGCCCAGAACGCAGTAGAGGCCAGTATGAAGTCCCGTCGAGAGCTGGTAGCTGGATTGGAAAAGCTCGTTGCATCAAATCGCGCACAACTCGCTCAAGAAGAATCCACTTCTCGCGACATCGGCACTAAGATCGACAACATGGAGGCTACTATCAGAGAAGTCGAGGACAGCATCATGCGTGGAGTGGACCCGTCCCCGGTGCATGGCAACGGCAACGGCCTCGAATTCGAGCGCCCTGAAACAGAAGGCTTTACTCCACCGCCTCCTGAGATCGAGTCCTTCACTCCGCCTTCTACTCACGGCGATGAGGACGACACTGCAACCAAAACTACGCCACAGAAGCGACTTTCCGGCGATTCCACAGGCGCAGAGCCGGCAGAGGTGCCGCCTCCCAACATGCCAGAGCCACCGCCAGTACTTCCGGGGGCGATGAATGGTGCAGCAGAAACTCAAGCACTTCTTGCCAACCTCGGGTCACTCAAAGGTGGCCCGATCAGGACCCCATCGGGGGAAATTCCAGCATCATCTTCGGCTGGAAGTCCTGGGGACCCGCGGCTGAAGCGAAGGAAAATGAGCCACAGAGCGAGTACGGATATGGACGATGAGATCTTTGGGAATGGGATGGGGGGTGTGGACGAGGACGGCATCAGTGCGATGTTGGGGCAATAGATGAAACCTCGTCGAGCAAGACTCATGTTTGGCGCGACTAACGCATTATTAAGGACGGCGTGCCACAGTGGCCATTGGTCATAAGCAGGTGCATCGACCCTCTATTAGAAGAGGGCTCACTCGGTGCAAGCATGTAGAGGCCCAAACTCGCTAAGCATCAATGAAAAAGGGCCAATCGGCTTCCAATATCAACAACAACAAGCATACCTACCTGGGTAGTTATATTGAGCTCGAACGTCCATTGAAGACACGGAAGCTTTAGTAGATTATGTTGTGCCGTATAATTCTATGCTAGGGGAAGTAATGATTTCTGAGACTCAAGTGAAGAAAGAAAGAAGTGCGGTCATAATTAGCGGCATCTGTCAGGGCGCCTCGGGAACTTCGAGCTCACCTCCGAAAGATGGATGGAATTCGAGAAGCAGCCACCTCACTCTCCGCCTCGCCTCGCCTCGCCTCGTACCACTTCACCACCTGCACAACGAACACGACCAACACGACCAACACGCTGCGGACGCTTTCGACATACAACCAGCTTGGATCACGCGGCATCTCTCGTTGCCTTGTCTTGTCCTAGCGATTGTCCAGTACATTTCGCGTGGGTCGGCCAGAAACAGTCGTCATAGACTATACCGCAACACGATTATGTCGGAAACGGGATCACCACAACGGTAGTGCGCACGGCTGAGCTTTGGGTACGCAGTGGGAATTGGAGCAGACATGGCTTCGCGCGGGCCACAAATCGCGCATCGCGCGTGGGATTGTCTTGGGAATGGAGCACTTTTCAGTCAGAGAATACGGACGTTACGGCCCAGGACGACAGTTGCGCCGACTGCCACGACGACAATGACAACGACGATGACGGCGACAAAGACTCCAAATCTGTACAATTCAAACATAGTACAGCAGTTGCGCTCCGCGAGGTGTCTGTCAACTCGACGGATCATACACAAACAGCTCATACGGCCGACCACAGCACTTGTGAACCAGACGTCACGATCCCCTGTACACAGACTACTGCAGACTTCACCTAAGAATAAGGAATCGTTGAATGTGGTGCAGCACGGCGACAAGGAAACTGCGTATAAGAACACCATCAACAAAAAGAACAGTGATCCGACCGAGGTGGATGAAGAGGATGAGTCGCAAACATTCAAAAAGTCGGAAAAAGCAGCTCAAGCCTCACAGATCAACTTGAGCGCGAAATTGTCGAGCTATGGTAAAGATGGAGAAGGCAAGACCGGCGGAGGCCGCGGTGAAGTCTGGAGATTACTCAAAATCGCTGCGCCTGAAGTCCGAACACTCAGTGTGGCTTTCGTCCTGCTCCTGATCAGCAGTTGTGTCACAATGGCTGTGCCGTTCAGCATCGGCAAAATTTTGGATTCTGCCACACAGCCCGATGGCATCGTGTTCGGCCTGAAATTGGAGTACTTTGTCGGAGCCATGGCCGCACTTCTCATGACTGGGGCGGCTGCTAACTATGGACGCATCGTCATTCTACGTGTTGTGGGAGAGCGCGTGGTCAGTAAATTGCGAAGTTCGCTTTTCAGGCGCACGTTTGTGCAGAATGCAGAATTCTTCGATGCCAATCGTGTGGGAGACTTGATCAGCAGATTGGGCAGCGACACCATTATTGTTGGCAAGTCGATTACCCAGAATGTGTCTGACGGTCTGAGGTCGATGGTTTCCGCGACGGCTGCCTTGACAATGATGGCATATATGAGTGTCAAGTTGATGGGTGTGCTGGCCATTGCTTTTCCGCCTGTTGCCGTCGGAGCTTTCCTGTATGGACGCGCGATTCGGAACCTGTCAAGACGGATACAGAAGAATCTGGGAACTTTGACCAAGGTCGCGGAAGAGCGGTTGGGCAATGTGCGAACCAGTCAAGCGTTCGCCGGAGAACTACAAGAAGTCCATCGCTACAATAGCCAAGTCCGAAAGATTTTTGGGCTCGGCAAACGCGAGGCTTTCATTTCTGCGGCCTTCTTCTCTGCTTCCGGATTCATGGGCAATGCTACATTTTTGGCACTGCTATATATTGGCAGTGGCATGGTACGACAAGGGGCCATGAGTGTCGGTGATCTGACAACATTTCTTATGTACACTGGCTACGCTGGTAGCAGCGTATTCGGTCTGTCGAGCTTCTACTCGGAGTTGATGAAGGGGGTTGGCGCCGCCAGCCGACTCTTTGAGTTGCAGGACCGTGAGCCTACCATCAGCCCTACCAAAGGAGACATGGTGCGCAGTGCTCGCGGCACAATTGAATTCCGAGATGTGGCTTTTGCATACCCAACACGACCAGCAGTAGCCATTTTCGATGGCTTGAACTTTACGATTCCTCAGGGAAGTAATGTGGCTATCGTGGCGCCATCGGGAGCGGGAAAGTCGACCGTGGCCAGCTTGATTATGCGCTTTTATACGCCCACCAGGGGAGAGATCACAATCAATGGAAAGGACATCACCAAGCTCAATGCAAAGCAGTTGCGTCGCAAGATTGGCTATGTTGGACAAGAGCCGGTATTGTTCTCGGGCACGATTGCAGAAAACATCGCATATGGTAGACCTTTGGCTTCAAGATCCGAGATTGTTGCTGCAGCCCGCCAAGCCAATTGCAACTTCATCAGCGATTTCGTGAGTCCATCAACACTAACGCATATTTCAATCGATCTGTACTGACCACTGTTGTCCTTCTAGCCCGATGGTCTCGAAACCTTCTGCGGTGCCCGTGGAACCCAACTCTCCGGCGGCCAGAAGCAACGCATAGCCATCGCTCGTGCCCTTCTGAAGAAACCTGATATCCTCATTCTAGATGAAGCAACGTCAGCTCTCGACGCCGAATCTGAAACGCTCGTGAATGAAGCCCTTCAAACTCTTCTCCGAGGCGACAACACGACAATCTCTATCGCCCATCGTCTGTCCACTATCCAACGCAGTGATACAATTATCTGCATTGGCACCGATGGCAAAGTCGCTCAAATGGGACCTTATACCGAGCTCGCTGCTGACAAAGATGGGGCCTTTGCGAAGTTGATGGAGTGGCAATTGACGGGCCCACCTACCAAGAAGCGTGCGGCCAATATCGAAGACGAGGATAGCGAGGAGTTGACCGAAGAGGAGAGGATGAGGTTGAGGATGCAGGAACATGATCATGCCAAGGGCTTGACCGAGGAGGAGAAAGGAGAAGAAGAGGAACGAAGAGTTATGATGACGAAATAGTCGAATGAGTGGGAGGGGGTCAAGATCCAAAAGATCAAAGTCCCGCTGCGGTGGAGCATCGGGCGGAGAAGATCAGGTTGATGTAAGGGATAGGGGAAGCCCTCGGAAAGGCGGATTGAAATGAATGCTGGCGATGAAGTCTTCGAAAGAGAGACTGCTCTCCTTCTTCTTCACTCATCTGGGACTCTTATGCATACTATGCACCAGGCATAGTCGTTACATTGTACAGGAAGGAAACAGTCTTCGCTACTATACCTTATAGGTCTTTTTTTTTTGCTAGAGCAGAAATGCCAAAAGTCGTTCTCAGCTCATCTCAGCTCCAGTCAGACTAGCTGAAACGAGCTTGCTTGTCTTCTTACTATCGTGGTGTTGAGAGAAAAAGCCGAGATAACATACTATAAGTGAAGTCCACTCGTCTTATGACTCGTGCATAATACACACGAAGAGTATACGTATAGATAGTCATTCCAACTTGTTCTTGCTACTTACTACATCCCGGGATTCCAGAGTGCTACATCTCTTTCCTATATTTACCGCTGCTGCTATTAACATTGCTGCCCTTCTCCTTTACTGTCGATTAACAATACATACATATTGCTCGCTCTGCGTCTCCGATGCCATATAGCTACCCGTTGTCGTCGTCGATGTACTCAATACTCGTGTTGACACTACACTTTTACAGTTCTCGCCGAGCTTGCATACTTGCACAGCTTCTATACAATCCTCTCGGGAAGCGTGTGAACCCAGAGACATCAGAAGTAGCGGAAGCAGCAGCAATAGCTGCCGGAGGAGCCGGACTAGACGTATGAGAAGTAGCCGGAGGAGCCGAAGTAGACGTATGAGACGTAGCTGGGGAAGCCGAAGTCGAAGTAGGAGAGGTAACCGAAGGAGCCGAAGTAGAAGAAGAAGGAGGAGTAGAGGAGGAAGTAGAGGATGCCGGAGGAGGAGGAGGAGGAGGAGTGGCCGGAGGTGCCGAAGTCGAAGTAGGAGAGGTAGCCGGAGGTGCCGAAGTAGAAGAAGCCGGAGGAGGAGCAGAATCAGTAGAAGAAGCCGGAGGAGGAGAAGTAGTAGTAAGGTAGTAGGGCTTCGCCGAGACTCCAAGACGCTACTAGTTTGTATCGTAACAATGGCGGCAGCGGCCGCGGCACGGCCGCGGCAATGCTACGAGAATGATCTTCTGCTACTTTCTTCATTTTCTGTCGCGTGAATTGGACAAGGTGCCAGTTGGTTTCCGCAAGCCTCCCGTATTTGTCGAGTAGCGATGACAAGACAACCCCATACTGGATCTCCCAGAAGGTCTCGACAATCTGGAGTCTTTGATAGCCCGTCTCCCACATGTGCCAGTGATCACTGTCCTACCTTCGGGCTATCTTAGAAGCTGGAACCGACAGATTGCCACTGCTCATTAAGAGAGACGCCGCCGAGTCTTGGTGATCGATACTTCTCTTGGTATGGATCGGATTCAGTTCCGCGACGTAACGGTCTTGTGCGTCGGCAATCAACCCAAATTCACTCTCGATCGTATTCTGCGTCTTGACGATGTTGTCTTTGCATCTCTCCCAAGCTTCAAACTCTGCCGTGATCTTTGCATTCCAATCCTGTTTACGTGGAGCCAGTGTATGCTTCGCAGAAAGCTGTGGCTCGGCAACAACGTCCAATGGCAGGTCAGTGCTCGCCGTTCTGGTCTTGATATCGCCATTGTGGAGCATATCGCTCGCTACGAAGCTCTCGGCGCGCTCCTTGATTTGTTTGATTTTTGTCTCCTTGCCCTGCAGTCCCTTCGGTCGTGTTTCACATGAGCTCGTCCAGGCCTTGACGCGATCAAACATGGCGGGTTTGTTCGGCATGTTTCGTCGCTGTACGACTGCCTCAGACTCCCTGTGATCATTGCTCGGTTTGCCTGTCCACCCACAGGAGGCCATTGCGCTGAGCAGTTGAGTATTCTGGATCTCTAGCCGCTCGATATAAGCCTGCCTTGCGGCAAGCTCCAGCTCCTTCTCACGTGCGTTTGCAACACAGGCCTTTTCTTTTGCACACCATTCCGTAGTTGTAGAATTGTACGGGGTGGCAGCTACTTGCGATGTACTCGTAGCTGTCGCACTGGCAGAGTTGGTGGTAGTCGTGGCGGATGGTACAATAGTCTTGGACTCAGGCGACAGCGGAGGAGGTACGGCTCTCGCTCTCGTTCTCTTTCCGCCGCCGTACAAATGGCTCATCCAGGTCTCATACAGTTTGTGTTTCTTGCCACATGTTTGCTGGGAGTATGGTGTCGGTGGCTCTCTTCCAATACGAGCTTCTGCAAACTTCCTGTAAGCGTTGTGCTTCGTTTATGGCCGGCCTCAAAGTCATGTAGACACTTCCTGTCCTGTTGGCCCCCGGTCCTAGGAAAAAGTGGCATGGCAGAAGGACCAGAAGAAAGTTCCGAGTCATATGTGTTGGGAGAATTGTGGAAGAAGAGAGGAAGGGCATGCGTTCTTGGATTCCCTGGGATCAGCACTCGGCTGTCTTGCCCACGCCAAGGTGGCTATTCCGCTGAGCACTTGAGTGTTCTGAACTTCTGTCCAAGTTCCCAAACACGCAGCCTAGAGAGAAATAGTCACATCGACAGTAAGCAATCTTCTCCAATATCGTTTGAAAGCCTGAAGAGGTCCTAATCTCAACTCCATTGCCCTAGTTCTCGAACAAGAGCCAGAGCGAAGGCCTTGAGATCGGCATGCCTCCGTGTAAGAGCGTCTCCATGTACTTACAGTTCATCAGTGCGGGTGTCACGGGATTTGACGACTTCAACCATTAATCCGTACAGAGGTACAGTGCAGCTTCTCTCTGCTCGTGCTGGGCACACTTGGGCTCGTCGCAGAACCTGGAAGGCGGTATTCGTGCGAGCAGTTCGTTGCCTATTGGATGCCAGGTCAGCTCTGACGTCTGTTGTCTTTATGAGGTACAACGTGAAAGGGCTAGGGGGGATCACCTTTGGAAGGGTAAATGAAGCAGCATCGAGGCTCGGGCTGCTCTGATACCAACAGTGACTGAATTGATCCAGAGAAAGTGGTGACGAGGAGTGAAGTGATGAAGAGCAGCGTCGGCCATGGACCCAAGGCTGTCGTCGCCATTGTAAGGCGGTGCAAGGTCTGAAGGGAGAAGGGGGAGGGAGAGAGGTAGAGAGTGTTAGATGGTGGATGGTGGAAAAGAAAGCTGAAAGCAGATGGGCGAGGACAGTCTTAAGTACTGGCGGGCTGCAAGACGACCTGGAAGGACCTGGAAGGACCTGGAAGGACCTGGAAGGACCTGGAAGGACCTGGAAGGGACAGAGATGGCTTGAGGGAAGGAGACGCTGCTTCGAGAAGGAGAGATGGCTTGATGGAAGGCGAGATGGCTTGATGGATGGAAGGAGAGAGGGCTTGGTTGGAAGGAGAGAGGGCTTGATGGGAAGGAGAGAGGGCTTGCTAGAAGGAAAGGATGGCCCTCGAGGGCGTCGAGAGTGCTGATATACCTCCTGAATGCTCCTGAATGCTCCTGACTGCTTGATCATCGCGCCTGAGACGACAGCATCCTCGTGCTCGCATAGAGGAAGGTGATGACAGGATCCCGATCGCTTGGAGGCAGGATGTGGATGGATGTGGATAAGTACCTACCTTACCTTAGGGCTACACGTAGCTGCTGAGTAGGTAGCTGCTATAGTGAAAGAAATATACGTAGGTAGTGAAAGAAAGGGCCGAGGAGGTGAAGTTGTAAGCACCTGCAGTCGCAACGAAGGCGTCGCTTGGCACGGAACCCGCAAACTCGAATGATGACTAAGTCACTAAGGTATTGGAAGTGAGGTAGCTGCGGCAACACGCGCTCCAGCGGGAAAGAGAGCTGGAAAGCGCGCCGCGGCTTTGCGCACTACAGTACGGGTAGCTGCTATACAGTGCCTACCTACCTCCTACCTGAATTACCTACTCCTCTTCACGAATCGTCTTTCCTCGCAATCGAACAATCCCAACTCTTTCGAACATGACCACACCTGTACATACACCGCATTGACCCTCACCACCACTTGAGCACCCCTCCGTCATCGCGACATCCATACGAACATGGCGCCCGCAACTCCCGAACTGGACGTACTCCGCGAACGCGACCCCGCCGTACAAAACACCGATGACTGGCACGAATTCGTCCTGACGCAAACTTTCGTCCATGAACCAGGCAACGAGGCCAAGCTGGTCAGTCTGCTCGTCGCAGAGGCAGGCTATCCCGTCACCGTGGTCGGCACGCTGGAGCCGCTGGACCACGACGACCACCACTTGTACCGACACAAACCCCAGAAAGAGGGCGCAAAACGGGTTACACTCGTCTTGGACAATGTGCGCCAGTTCGCCTTTGGTGAGACCGAAGCCTCGCCAGCCGTCTGGGCTGCTGGGAGAGCGGGATGGCACCACATTCGTCCCAGCAAGCAGTACAAGCGCATATTCGATGACATGTGTGAAGCCGTGCAGATCTTCTACTACATTGCAGATGCCTACAAGAAGGAGCGATATGAGGGAAGAGGCAAGAACCGAACTCTGCTGAGGGACTACACGGCGCAAGAGATCTTCGAGAACTACGCGCGTGAGAAGCTCGGCACAGAGGACGCAGAGGTCGCACAGGCTACAATCTACCGGCACAAGGACTTTTTGATCAGCTCCATGTTGGCCGGGAAAGAGGGTCTGGCGTGGACCAAGTACTCCCTCTGCAGGCATCTGTACAGGCGCTTCCCGGACACGTTAGACATGCTAAGGAAAAGGCGTGAGCCTCTGGAACCGAAGCTTTCGCGGTCACTGCACACCAGAAGGGGCTCTGGGGATACGAACTCGACTGCAACGTCGAATCCGGCGAAGAAGACGCGGTCAACGAGGCAGAATTCGGTCGAGACCACTTCCGCACCTGTGGGAAGGCCTACTGATGCAAGACTACGGAGAACGCGGCACGGCTCGGCAGAAACCAGCTCCACCACATCCAGTCTGAAGGGAAAGCGCACTCGGGCAGCAAGAGGAGGCATCGTCGAAGTCGTGACACCCCTGGACGGCACTTCAGACGCAAGCGGGACCATCCCGGAGGTGCCCGAGCAGGACGCTTCCGAAGACGACAGGCCGACAAGGTCGACGAGATCTCCGAAAATGAAACTGCCATCCACGAGACAAATGCGACATCATCCGGCAGCAGTCGACCTCGAACCCGTTGCAACGCCCGCGAGGGAGGAGGAGGAAGAGGAAGATGAGGAAGAAAGCGACGAAGAGATCCGAGCGCGAGAAAAGAAGAACAAATCTTCTCTGCGTCCTCGTGCGTCCAAGGCCAATAAATCGGCTTCACGCAACGGTGGCAGCAAAGGGCCGCGGCTCAACGACGACGGTGGTGATGAAGATGACCCTGATCCACCTTCCTCGCCAATAAGAGGCAAGCGGAAACATGTGGACGAGATTGATGAGAATGTCCACCGAAGAAAACCCAAACGGCCCAACTCCCGACCCCACGACGACGAGGGAATCGATATACCCACCTCGCCTGACTCGAGTGGCGATGCGGACGTCGACGTCCCTCTCGGCCTGGCGGAAGTCGCGCATGTTCCAGATCCTGTGCAAGAAGATACGTGGGTGTGTGCATTAGATGGCTGCCACCACAAAGTGTACGCATCGTTGCATCCCGACAGTCAGCGTCTGATACGTGAACATTATGCTTTGCACGCGTATGATGATGATGCACGAGTACAACTGGTCAAGCAGGTCGAAGCACCTTCTTTGCCTGTCTCGAGATTGATGGAAAAGGTGAAAATGAGGGCAAAGGCGGAAGGCTTTCCCGGAAGCCATAGTAGCCATGTCGTTGGGGCGACTGGGCCGAGTCCGGACATGCCTGAGAATGTCAAGAGCCGATTTGGTATTGCGGGCCAAATGGCAGCCGTGGTTCAGAGGTATTGATGCGGATGATGTGGGTGATTACCATGAATGATGAAATGGGTATGTCAGATGCATTCCTGTGAGGGATATGGAACTCCTCTTATATCAAGTGCCATGCGGAGATGGCTACATGAACGATTACTTCTCAGGCTGAGAAACCAGACGAGCCTACCCATTGTCACTTTCACCCGATACCATCTTCAATGTCTTGGGGACGCCTTGCCTTTATATGGTTCTGAGCTGATGCTCGCCAGGGAACCACGAGAGTGAAGACGTGACCACCATTTGAGCTGTCGTAATCATCATTTCATTTCCACCACGCCTACCATTCATCATCTACAGCAGATCTACTTACTCCTCTCGCGGGATCAGCCCAGCAGTAGCAATCCTCATCCTCTTTCCCCAATACCACACGGGCAAAGTCAACAGACTGAAGAGGCCCATCAAGGCGCCAAACACGCCAAACGGCGTCTCCGCACCCGCCGTTTCCACCCAGTGGCCCGCGAAGAAGGTCCACGCAAAGGAAATCGCACTGCGCGCAATCGTCGTCATGACAAAACAATCCGCCGCCAGTGGTCCATACGCATCAATCAGATAATTGAAGCCGACAGAAGGAATCTGCGTGATTCCCAATCCCACCATTCCCAGTCCAAACACCATTCCCACCCACGCCGTATAGGTATTGTGCATTCCGGCAGAAAATCCAAACGTCCAAATGCCTGCCGTGGAAATGATCAAGGCGGGGAACATGGTGAGGAGCCTCTCCTCGGGCTCGGCCAGACCGTTGCGATCACTCTTTGCTTTGATGCGCGTAATCATATCCGTCACGACATAGGTGAACAGTCCTCCGATCATGGTGCCGACGACACCGCCGAGGTTGAGGAGGCCGGCGTTGTCGCCCCATTTGTAGGGTGGTCCGGAGAGAATTTGGGGGCCGACGGTGGAGATGGTGACGAGACCGCCAAGGAGACCGCCGTAGTGCAGGCAGACGAGCCAGGTGCCGGGGAGGAGGAGAGTCTTCCATGGAGCGAGGAAGTGTTGGAAGACGAGTTGCGGGACAGATTTGGTCTTGTCGTTGGGTGGGAGGCGGAAGCCAACAGATTGGGCATAAGTGTAAGTGGAGTTGTTGTTGTGACGGGAAGTGGTAGGAGTCATGGATTTAGTGGGAGCGTGTTCGATGGTGTTGACGTTGGATTTCTCCTTTTCCTTCTCGCTGTCGGCATATGATGAGGTGGATTGGTCGCCCGAGGTGATTTGGTCTTGCAGGAGTTGTCCTACACGGTCGAAGCTGGTTTCCGGCACAAAGAGAATCTGGGCCACCAGGATAAAGCCTAGGAGAGCGAGACTGATCCAGAAGATGTAGCGGTATCCGAGGTCGCTCGAGATGTAGCCTCCTGCAATACCACCGATGAAGGAGCCTCCCGAGAGGAAAATGGTATAAACGGCCTGTGTGGAAGAAGAAAGACCATGTCAGTCTTTTTTCTCTTCTTGAAAGACCGAAGCGGAACGGTTGACCAAACGGTTAAGAGAGAGAGAGAGGGAGGGAGATGGAGAAAGAGAAAAAACAAAACTCACCATAGCCCTCCCGCGCTCATGCACAAAAAACATCTCTCCAACCACATTGGCCGCAATACTATCCGCGGGCCCCATTCCGAAACCCTGAACAACTCTCGCCCCCAACAACGAATCAAACGACTTGGCCTCACCACACCACACGGTCGCAGCGACAGTCACAGTCATAGCAAAAATCAACACAGGCCGTCTCCCCACCAAATTCGACATGGGCACCCAAATGATATTTCCCAACCCAATCATCAACACATTGAAGGCGATCAGATGCGTGAGTTTGCTGAATTCGGGCGGAGGAGAGTTTTCGGGTCGAGGCAGTTGCACCATGATGAGTCCGAGCGAGGGCGCGAGACCCGAGGAGGCGAGGTTGACGCTGAAGCAGTAGATGGACATGATTCCCAAGACGGTGTATTTGCGCCATCGGGACCAGTTGAGAGGGTCGGCGGGGTTGAGGGTGGGTGGGGGAATGAGGGTGACATGGTCGTTTTCCTCGTGTTCTGTGAGAAGAAGGTTAGTTTCGGTGGAGTGTGGTTGGTTGAGCTTGTTCCAGACAAGAAGGAAGGTAAGGTAAGGCAAGGCAAGGTAGGTATGGTTGATGACATACCAATCAACCTCTCCGTCCCAGGAGGTTCGGCTTCAGCAACTTGTTGCTTGGTCAGACCGAACGCATATTTCCATTGAGACATGTTTGCAAACACAGCTGCGTTGCAACTTGTCGTCGTCGTCGTCGTGGTGATAGTAGTAACAACAAGAGATCAACCGTAGTCAATCACGGACGAGAAGAGAACAACCAACCCGAGATGGTGGTTGTCGTCGTTGTTTGAGGCTCAAGTGAATAATAGGAGTAAAGTAGCAAGGGGAGAAGACAAAAAAGCGGTTGAACAAGGCCGCAACTAATATATCCTCGTCCAACCTCTCACAATACCTTCATGCTTGCTTGCCGATAGATAGGGAGGGAAGAAGGTGAGTGACTGCCAACCCAGCCTAGACGATACCGCATGACAGTGAACTAGGGAGAACAGGTCGCTAGCGTGTCGAATCTGTGGAGTACCCCACCGGAACACGGTACGGTACGTGAACGATAGCTGGGGGGAGTGTCTCATCACACGAGCGAGCGAGTGCACAAGCCCCCAAGCACAAAAAACGAGGCTTTTTTCTTACTTTTGGCGAGGCGTATATACTATAAAGTCTTGTCGTCTTGTCTTTCTCTGTGTATGTGAGGGAAAAAAACACAAAAGCTATCTGCCGGTTGAGGGGGGGAGAATAATGTGTTAGAAAGAAAAGAAATGCGGAGAAGTGGCTGACACCGTTACGCCTCCCCCTCCAGTTGAAGACCTTGATATCTACTTGACCGTATTCTGGGCCTTTTGTGGATTTTTGATACTCATCATCATTAATCGAGTCGGTACCTAGGAGGTACTACCTACCGAGAGAAGTTGTTCGATCTCTCTACCGTAGCGTATCGATCTATCGAAACAACAACAAAACAACAACCTAGACTCCTTCTAGTAATTGACCGAGTAATTTTCTCCCTCTCAGTCTCTCTCTATCTTTCTCTAAGAAAACTCGCACGGTCTTCCGGAGGAGGGGCTTGGTACGTACGAGTCTGGTCTAGGAGGTACCTCCTATCGTTTGAACTTGCCCCCTGAAAGGCCCCCAGGGAGTTGGGTCATAAATACATTAATGCATACACAAAAAAACAAGCAACAAGCCCAAGCGCCGATGCAAAGTGGACCAACGACCTGCTACTTCCATCCGCAGACTTGCACCAAGAGAGAACGATATCGAAAAGATATGAAGAAAAAGGATAGATAGGCAGAATATCTGCACTGCAATTTGGGGACTATGCCCGAAGAGTTGTAAGATCTGCAGAAAAGTAATATATAGATATGTACCTCCTACATGTTTGTTTGCGATATGGATAAGGTAGGTTACAGGTACGCTTCGGAGGGTTCTTGTCTCGGAATGTGTCAGTTGGCAAACTAGGTACCTACCGACCCACACGAAGTGAAAGTTCTCAACAGCTTTCTATAACCGTGTTCTCTTCTCTATCTTTGCTCTTTGGGTCTAAAGAAGAAAGATGCAAGTTGATGAGAAGAAGAAGAAGAAGAACTCTACTGCCGTCGGCTGCTGCAAGTCGCCAAACGCCAAGTCCTACATGCATACATACAGACAGGACAACAAAATATGCACTCCGAGTCCTCGGCCGAGCGCTCGCCAAAAGGGTATGCGTGTCACCATCGTATCCGAAAGACTCTTGGGTCCTTTTATTGCTATACTAGTAGTATCTTCTGCTGATGCCCAGCTCTCGCTCAGTCTTGGACAACACAACACAGACCAAGCGGATGTGGTGAGAGGACTAATAAAGATCTCGGCACATATTTCTCTATGCTATATATCTCGTGTACGGAGTTCTGTAGTGCCAATAATACTATATACCCTCCTCACCCTCATCCAGGTTTCTCTGCCTTCTCGGCCGAAGTACAAATACCTAACCTAACCTAGAAACCAGAGTAGTCAGTCATCAGTCACCTCCTATCGTGCTTGATATTCGTCTAGTCTAGTCTCGCCAAAAAAAAGAGAACATCTTCTAGGCAGGATTGCTTGTCCATCCATCGGGGCCTGGGCGAAGAGCGTACGATACGTTACGATACGATACTCTCGGTAAGGGTGAGGTGAGCGAGGTAGACCGGAAGCTACACAACACAACGGACGGTATGTTGTACCTCCTCGTACTATACCACTATACTACCACTATGAGACAGTCGTCGTCATCTTCGTCATCTTCGTCATCATCATCATCATCATCATCATCATCACCTCCATTCTCACTAGCGAGGTATAAGCACACATATGAGCGGCAGATGAGGAGACCGTGAAGAAGTCTAGAATTGAAGCCGCAAAAAAAGGTTGTTGCCTCCTAGCAGTAGTATCTCCTCCTCACCAAGACCAAGACCAAGACCAACAGAAAAAAAAGTAAAAAACAGCCAGCTACCTACCTACCTGAGGTACATGTATACTTACCTAGGTAGTGGCTGACATCCCCCACAAAAGAGGCTTGGGGATTCCACCTGGGGTATCCGAAGGAAAACCCGGGGAAAACGGATGCCCACACGGGATCCCGCTTGGCCCAACCACAAGGTTCATCCGGAGGAAAGATGGGGTAGAGTTTTTTTGAGATGTGACAGTACTACGGACTACGGAGAAGAGAAAAAAAGCTGGGGTAAGGTTCTCATGGGAAGGGGGAGGGAGGAGGGGGATCATGGGCGGTCTGACAGACAGACTGACAGACTGCTGACTCTGCAGAATACACTTTCTTAGTTCTTACTATACCATCGTGTTGATCGAGAGCCTTCATGAACTGAATTCAGGTTTTGAAAATTTGGGTGGGTTTCCACAATCATCCAATACCAGAAACTCCAACGCTGAACTGCTCTGTCAATATCATAATACAAAAATTCTCTTGTCTCTCCTTTGCCCCCTCCCCCCTCCCCTCCCACTTCACTACCTACTACTACTTTTTCCTCCCCTTTCCCTTCTTTCCTCTCCCAGCCTGTGGTTGCTGTTGTTGTTCAGGAGCATAAGCATGCCCTTCGACGACTTCCTCCCCAGCTGCCTCCAGCTCCCGAACCTTTTCTTGACTGGAGATGAACATGGTCAAATCGTGATTCATATCCTCCAGATCCTTCTTCTCCTCCATCGCTTTCGCTCGTTCCTCCTGTGCCATCTTGACCTCTTCCTCCGCCTTGGTGATTCGTTGACTCAGTCCCTCATTCATCGCCTTCTCCTCTCTCCATCGATGCCCCATATCCCTCGCCATCTGCTCAAACTTCGATCGAGCCTTCTCTGCTTTTTCTACCTTGGCCTCTGCAGCAGACAACTGGACTTTCACATCCTCTAGTGCCGCACTCATTGTCGCCATTCCTTTTTCCATCTGCTCCGCCCGTGCAGCAGCTTCTTCGGCTCGTTGACTCGCTTGCGTCGCTTTATCCACTGCTCTGGCGACTTGCTCCTCAAAGTATCGTCTCTGTCCCTCCAGCTGAGACGTCAAGAGATAGGTGTATTCCGTCGCCATGTTCTCCATCTTCTCTCTCGGAACACTGTCGCCCCCTTCGGCTCGAAATGCTTCATTCTCGTGGCGGTGGCGAAGTGGCATATCCACATACCCGCCAGAGCCATGATGATCGTGTGTTGTTGCTGCTGCTGCTGAAGGGGTGGCTGGTGGTTTGCTCTGTATCAGTCGATGAACATAACCGTCCCCCGCATAATCCCACACATGCTGGGTATTGATGTCCATGGCGTAGCAGTGACTCGTCTCCTCGTAGTGGGCCATGCCATGAGCAGAATCGTACCGTCCGCACCCAATGTTACCACAAATCAGACACACCCACAGGTTCGAAGTGCCGGCGCAGACAGAGCACATGGTCTCCCTTTCTTCATCTTCTGCTCCGCCAGGGCGAGGATAGGGAAAAGTGTATGATGGGGCGTGGGTGTAACGACAGACGGGGCAGCCCGAGCCTCGCCACTTCTCCAAGCAGGCACAGTGAAATACATGCTGACAGAGGATGGTGAGAAGACCCGTTGTCTCGTCCATACGTTCCAGGCACACAGGGCACGTCGGCAGCTCAAGCAGATTGGGAGGAGGTGGGGGCATCGGCTTGCTGAGAAGGATCGAGTTGGCGCCATTCGCGGCTGTGAAAGGATCATGAGTGTTGTGTGGGAAACTGGAAGACGTGACATCTTCGTCTGGCGACAAGAACTCGACGCTCTTGATGAAGACTACATGGCAATTCTCGGGCTCCAAATCACTGAAGAGCCGTCCATTGTTTGCCTTCTGCCAGTCGCGTGCCTTCTTTGCAGAGCGAAACTTCAACAGCACCATGTACTTGTTTGCTCTGTTGGTCCGAATCAGCCTGAAGTGACTGACGTCCTCCCTCGCCTGCTCACCCAGAAAGCTGAGTAGGTCTGAAGGCATCATCCAACTAGGTACAGCCAATATGCAGAGCGTCGAGCAGTCATCGGGATCGAAGGCAGCGTCTTGCCCTCCATCCTGAGCTGCACGGACCAAACTCTTCTGTGGTTTCCCGTCTGCATTCAGCGCCTTGCTCTCTTCTTGATCGCGGTACAGATGCACTACACCCCAGCCTACTTCTGTCGTCTTGGAGTCTGTTGGCACGAATACTGCCTTGGTATGTAGACTACCGGCATTGCTGGTTTTGCTCTTCTCCATGTCGATGCTCTCTATTTCCACCTTGCCGTATCGCCAGTCAGTAGCAGCTGCCTCGTTGGAGTGCTTGGTATTTGCTGCAATGCGCGGAGAAGGTGGCAGTACGTCTCTCCTCAGGTTGTGGCTGCGCTCAGGGAGGAGGAGTGCGGTACCATGCGACTCCTGGCCGCGATCGTTGTCGGATAAAGTATGCTTTGTCGACGAGTCGAAGGAAGTGCGGGTGGGCGTCGTCGAGCCAAAGGCTGCTGCTGGTGAGTGAGGTCGTTTCGCAAAGGTCTGACTGGGCCACTTGCTCGTTCGATGGGCGGGGAAGGCGGTCTTGCTGAAGATGTCGGTGCCTGGCCGCGGTGTGAAGCGGTGGTTGTGGTGGGGGGAGATCTGATCGGTGGAGCTGGAAGTGGAAGAGCTGTGTGATGCTGCTGCTGTTGCTGTTGCTGCTGGTGTCGGGTACAGCTCAAGCTTCAAGTGAAAGAAGAAGTAAGACATGGCAACTATCGTGCAAGACCTACAGTGAAGAAGCTGGCAGCGGCATGATGCCGACCGTCGCTTGTGCACAAAATCGGGTTTGGTAAGTGGTGGTGGTGTTGGTGGTTAGTGAATGCTCAGCTCATCATCTACACCCGATCTTCCACATGGGCCGATCGCTGCCAACCTGGAAAGATTCGTGGGATTGTCACCCGCCAGAGCGATACCTTACACGCCAGACGTCGAGAGCAGCAGGAGTGCGACAGCGTACACGACGAATGATGGTGGATGTTGGTGCTGGCGAGTGCGTACAAGTACCTGATACCTTACAAAGCAAGAAAATTTCGATCCAGGTCGATCGCCCGCGCCGAGCCAGTCGATCACCGCTCCCTGACCTGATGGAACAGAAATAAGTTCCGTCATTTCATCTCCCAGGGCACATCATATCAATAGGTAGGTAGGCATCGGTCATGATGAGTTGCAAATGTGTCCCATGTCAATGGGCATCATCATCTCATGTATCATCATCGATTTAAGTCTGCATCCGACGACTACATCAGCTTTTCCACACCTAGGAGACTTGAGCGAAGTCGATATCAGCTTGAGGAGCGGGAGCTTAACAAATGGAAAAGAACTGTCAAGATGTGAAACAGTAAATATTTGGATTGAATTCATGGGGAGGTTGTGCTCGCCGGCACCCTCTACTCGCTCAAAAGTTTCATGCCCACGCTATTGTCGATAACCCTCGATACAGCAGATCGTTCTCAATCCTCTATTGTCCACCACGCAGACGCAACACCAAGTGCAGAGTGCTCTCCTTCTGAATGTTGTAGTCGGACAAGGTACGGCCATCCTCCAACTGCTTGCCAGCGAAAATCAGACGCTGCTGGTCCGGTGGGATGCCCTCCTTGTCCTGGATTTTGCTCTTCACATTGTCGATCGTGTCTGATGATTCTACTTCTAGCGTGATCGTCTTTCCTGTGAGTGTCTTGACAAATCTGTGGGAATGCCGTCAGCATGTAATTACAACAAATGTGATATCGCTCCGAGGATGCTCAACGTACATTTGCATACCACCACGCAGGCGAAGCACAAGGTGGAGCGTCGATTCCTTTTGGATGTTGTAGTCAGAGAGAGTGCGGCCGTCCTCCAACTGCTTGCCAGCGAAAATCAGACGCTGCTGGTCCGGTGGGATGCCCTCCTTGTCCTGGATTTTGCTCTTCACGTTGTCGATCGTGTCTGATGATTCTACTTCTAGCGTGATCGTCTTTCCTGTGAGTGTCTTGACAAATCTGTGGGAGTGCCGTCAGCATGTAATTGCAATAAACGATATCGCTCCGAGGATGCTCAACGTACATTTGCATACCACCACGCAGGCGGAGGACGAGGTGGAGAGTAGACTCCTTTTGGATGTTGTAGTCAGAGAGAGTGCGGCCGTCCTCGAGCTGCTTGCCTGCGAAGATCAAGCGCTGCTGGTCCGGAGGAATGCCCTCCTTGTCCTGAATCTTCGACTTGACATTGTCGATGGTGTCAGAGGACTCCACCTCAAGGGTGATGGTCTTGCCAGTGAGAGTCTTGACGAATATCTGCATACCACCACGCAGGCGGAGGACGAGGTGGAGAGTAGACTCCTTCTGGATGTTGTAATCAGAGAGCGTGCGACCGTCCTCGAGCTGCTTTCCGGCGAAGATCAAGCGCTGCTGGTCCGGAGGAATGCCCTCCTTGTCCTGAATCTTCGACTTCACGTTGTCGATGGTGTCGGAGGACTCAACCTCGAGGGTGATGGTCTTGCCAGTCACTAGAAGATGGTCAGTCAGTATGAGTCGAGCGGGTGCAAAGAGGACCACCACGACCGAGCGGTGGCGAGGACGTGGGTGCGGGCGGGGTGGTACGTACGAGTCTTGACGAAGATCTGCATGGCTGCGGCGGTGTGTGTCTGTTGGTTCTGTTGCGGTGGTGATGGATAGCCGTAGATGTCGCTGAGTTGGAGTGTCGGAGCTGTTGGATGTGTTTGTGCAGGAGAAGAGGAGAGAGGATGAGAGGCTGTGACAGGAAGGAAGGTGGTGTACTTATCATGGAGGCTGAGCAAACAACACGCTAGTGACTGGAGGGGGCACGTGCCGGATAGCGATGGTTCGAGAACGATGACGCAGCGGGGCAAGGCAGGTAGGCAGCCATGGGTCGCCACTGCCACTTTCACTTCCGCTTTTCACCTTCACTCCCGATTACCTCAGCTAGGTACCTCCTATCTTTCACGAAGTTCTGGCCCAGTAGGAGGTACCTTGTCATGCTGCTCCTTCACTTCCCGGCCTCATCCCGTGCTTCCCCTTTCCGTACCTACCTGACCTGATGCTTTTCGTTTCCATAAACTTCTACCACGGTACATGTCCATGAGCCGGGCTGACGGTGACGGCGACGGTGACCGACTGGCATATAAATGGGCTGAGTGCTATCGGCAGTAGAACTATATCACTACAGGTACCTAGTGTCCACAGGTACCTACCTGACACTACAGTACCTCGGATTGAACGGCAAGCGCCGGCATGACTTCACTGCCACTACCTACCACTATCCATATCCATATCCATCGAGGAGGCAGTGGAATGAACACACATGAATAAGGAGAGGAGTCAGTCTGCTCCATATAATTTGACTGTGGCGATCGCTACTGTCGTGACAATGTGTATCCTCGCTTCCATGCTAGAAAAAATGCAGCAGATGCACCACCCACTCAATAGCTATGCAGAGACAGAACCGTCCAGCCCTTCCACCACCACCACCACCACCAAGTCACTATTCAAACGAATGGCGCAATGTATACCCATCAACTTCTTCGGCTTCTTCGGCCCCTCCAACTTCTCCCACTCCCACGCATTCAATCTTTCGCTTCTCTCCCTTCCTCTCACTGCTGCTGTGAAAAGGGAATCTCCCTTCCTCTCACTGCTGCTGTGAAAAGGGTATCTCCCCCGGAAACGGCTTTCTTGCCCACACGACGGGCATCGGGAAATATGCATGAATCCTCTTGTTCCTGAAATCGTTGGAGATCCTGGCAACAAACACATCCACCTCCGTCTTTGACCAACCCAGCCCCCTCGTCAGCAAAGCCAAACAAAACGCTTCCAGGCCATCGATTATGTTGACCTGATTCCATCGTCCGAGCTCCTTCATAAATGGGTCCTTAGGCCAGCTACTCGAAGGCCACATAAACATCTTGTGCTGAATGTCCACGAACCCAACCTGCTGCATCCATTCTTCAAAGTGCTCGCTCACGTCCGAGCCCAAGGGACGTCCTATCACCCTTCCAGCTTCGAGTAATAACTCGCCCCAGCGGAGCATGTCGGTGCCGAGGTGAGTTCCATCGGCGGATTTGACTGGCAGGCCGTAGTCTTGCAATTCGAGCCAGCCACCGGGTTCGAGGTTGTCGTATGCTTGTCGCATGAAAGCGGGCCAGTCGGAGAAGCAGCCCGACATGAGACGAACGTGAATGTAGTCAAATTTCTCTTCGTACAGCCACAAATCCTCGGCATCGTCAACGACGAACTTGACGTTCGGCGGAACCCTGCAAATAGTCAGCGAAGGACTGGAACAAAAAACTACAGAGCAACGTGATCATTGGATTCGAGACGAACAAGTTTGGTTGTCCTGGGGAGAGATCTATCCCCGTGACCATGCAATCGGGAAACTCGTCGGCAAAATCAATGGCCCAAATGCCCGTGCCCGTGCCCACATCGAGACAGCGTCTGGGCCTATGGAGAGGCGCAAAGTAGAGCTTGTTGGCGTACGTGATACGTAACAGGTGGTGTTGCAGGTCGAGGCGCTCGGCTTCTCTCTAGATTCACAGTCAGACATGGCTCATACGTTGGGGCGTAATCGCCATCAATCATGAGACCTACCTCGTCGTTTGGAAAGATGTACTTGCCATCCTTGTAGGCTGTGTGGGGTAGATTAGCGTGAGACAGGACATATATGCACGTATACCACGCCGTCACATGAAGGCATACTCACCATGATACGTGCGGCCGTGCTCGCGACGATAGTTGTAGATGGACTCGGACAATGAGGTAGTCCGACTCTCACTGGGAACGGATCAGCCACATGCGTGTGCAGTGGTAATTTGATGTTGGAAGACAGCAGGATAGGAGTGTGGAAGAGATGATGGGAACTTACGTATCACTCCCGAGAGCAGAGTCACTATCAAGCTCCTGTAAACACAACACTCAGTCATCAACTTCAAACGTCTTCACAGAGCAGCGCAGCGCAATGCAGCGCCGCAGCGTGATGTGGGAAATGAGACAGAAAACGCACATCGGGTTCTAGACGCTGCTCCTCGGCATTCTGACCACCATCGAGCATCGCCGCATCTCCTGGTGGTAATGACGAGGATGCGTCAGGCGCTGCCATTGATGATGATGATGGGGATGATGCTGGCGGTGCTGCTGCTGGTGGTGGTAGTGGTGGTGGTGCTGCTGCTGGTGCTGCTGCTACTGATCCCGCTGGTGTGCCGTGATCGCCTCTATTCGGATGTATTGGTTCAGTGAGAGGGGCGGCGCTCCTGGAGGCGTCAGCAGAGCCAGTGGCGGTCTCGGAATGGCCATGGCTGAGTGTGGTGGCTCGTATATCTTGCTGCTGCTCCGAAGAACATGGTGTGGCTTCTGTCGATAGGGTGGAAAGATAGTCCCGAGTGCCTTTGAGCTTGGCAGCGAGTTCGCGTTCGATGGCCAGACGTTCCTCGGCTTCGTTGGTAGGAGGAGCGCGCTTAGCGGACGAGTTTGCAGCGATGGCGGGAGGCTGATTGTGGTTGTGATTGTTGTTGTTGTGGTGGTGATGGTGGTGGTGGTGGTTGTTGTTGTTAATCTGGTCGGCCATGGTTTTTGTACAGGCTGGCAGTCAAGCAATTCTTGGCTACCTACTAGTAATAAGAAGGTGATGGCTGAGCTAGCAAGGATGGGTGATGCGGAAGCCTCTTTGCTCTTCTGCTTTGACCGTCAGGTAAGATAGACACGTGGTGTGGCTTGTCTGGTCTTGCCCTGTTCCTGATGCTGATGCTGGCGCTGCGGCTTCGGAGGGGTGTGAAGATGACAGGATTTGAAGCTCTTGAAACTGTGGAACAACAATGACCCTCTCCCTTGAAAGCTGTTTCGCTCTCCCCTTCTCACTTTTCTCTTTCTTTTTCTCTTGCTCTGTATGTTTCCCTCTCTCTCTCGCCCACTCCCTCTGCCCCTCTCTCTCTCTTTCTCTTTCTCTTTCTCTTTTTCTCTCTCTCTCTCTCTCCCTCTCCCTCGCTCTCTCCCTCGCGCGTGGGGCTTCCAAAGGTCGTGTTCGGTAGCAGCAGATGCGCAGAGTTCACGACCTCAGATCCCTTTGGACAGTTCACGTGGACAGCAGCATATCGGACCGGCTCAAGGTCACGATCAGGAAAAGTTAGTGGCTGCACGGTGACAGGTCTAAATACAGTAATACGTCTACGGTGTCGTACTTGCCTGTTTGGTCGATGCCCGGGTCCAGCAGTTTTGACAGGGTCTCGCCCACTTTCAAAACTGCACGCCACGGTACACCGCTGCCCCGTGCGTTCCCCGGCGCGGCTTCCCGCTAGCGGCTCCCGTCGGGTCGGACCTCCCTGTCCACCTCCTACCTCCTCTGGTCCTACCCTACCTATACCTCAGGTATCTACCTACAGCCATGGATGTAGGTATCTACATTACCTGACTACTGTACCTCCCACCTACATGTACCTTCCTCCAGTTGCACACGTCGTCCCGTCGTCAGGTATCGACACGTCTCTCCCGATCGTCGCTTCCCATGACAATCTACAACCTATCATCAGAAGGCCTTCACTTTCACTCCACCCCACTCCACTAGCCAGGACAAGGGCCAGGGCCAGGATGCCATGTCCTGTCTCTGCATGTGAGGCGCGAGCAAGGCCCGCACGCGACGGGAGGGAATGCAAGGAAGGAGACGTATCCCACTCCCGTTAGCCCCATCGTCTTCTTCTCTTCACTCTCTGGCCTCCTCCTCCTCCTCCACCACCTCCTCCTCTTCCTCCTCTGACTACTCTATACTACCACCGTACTACCCGCCCGTAGTAGAGAAGCGGCCGCTGGGCACTGTCGGGTGGCTGCACATCTAGCTCAGAGTGCATTTCATTCTAGGCTCGAGACTGTCTCTCGTCCCTGGCGGTGGCCACGGGCGGCGGTGGTGGTGATGGTGGTGGTGGTGGAGGACGGAAGATCTGGCGCCCCTGAGGCTTATCGCCTTGTCCCTCTCACACTACACGCACTACTGGTGTGTGTGCAGGGCAGGCAGCATGGATGATGGATCTATACGGACGCGGGCGCGGGTGCGATCACTGATCATACTACCTTAGCTCCCATCCATCACAGAACCATTACCTCCCTAACCTCCCCTCCCGTCCTGCCTCTTCACTGCCGTCGTCGGGCCCTGAACTCACACGCCACTCGCCACTGACTACTGACTATCGACTACCTACTCACTACCTTACTACCACTTGACTACTGACTACTACTGACTGCACCCTTCCCTTCGCCTGGCAACACAAGTGAATGGCCCCGGTCTGCTGATGGGAATAATGAAGTTCATGCGGTGTCTAAGCTGAGAGACCCACCACGTGGATCAGAGGCTGCTGTTGTATGCCGCTATCCTCGGGCGCCGACTGAGCACACGGCATTCGCATCCGCGTGAGACACATCGCATTTGCAGTTGGCCGTGCCATAGCATCCTATCCCCAGGCCTCCGCGGACGTCGCTTACCCTCAGCTCAGTCCCAGCTGTCTGGTTGCTGACAGCACGTCTCAATCACACATCCTGCACGCCGCTCGAACCGCTCTCTCGTCTTGTGTTCCCCCCCAGCTTTCACACCGGCGCCCCTTACGCCCAAGACGTCCCGACAAGATGGTTCCCGCCGCCGTCTTGCTGTCATTTGCAATTCTTGCCATCATTGTCGCACGCCAAGTGCGCCGATACCACGCTCTCAAAGACTTTGGTGGCCATTGGTCCGCCGGCTGGTCTAGGCTATGGCTACTCAAGACCCAGAGCAGTGGTCGCATGAACAAGATCTTTACTGATATTAACAAAGAATATGGTATGGGCAACTTTTTCCCTCACTTTCCCCCTCACGTTTTGCTCTGCAACTTCCTTCTTTGGTCAAGCGCTGGAGGCACAGGTGCCACAGGAATCGATCTCTCGATGAGGTTGCACAAACTGCCAACAGTTCCCCACATCCATTGGGCCACACCGGTGCTTTAGTACAGCGTCACATGAATGAGAGAGAGAGAGAAAGAATCACTTGCAGCTTCATCGTTCCTACTCTACTACTGTACACCAGACGTACCAATACAATGGCTCACCAATGGCACAGGTTCGACGGCCCGCATAGGACCCGGTATGCTCATCACCTCGGATCCTGATCTGATGCGACGCATGAACGCCGTCCGCTCGACATTCACCAGAGGTCCGTGGTACGCCGCCCTGAAGCTCCACCCCGAGCGTGACAACATCACTTCGTACGTGGACGAGCGCAAGCATGCCGACATCCGTGCCCGCATGGCACCCGGCTACTCGGGCAAAGAGAATTGCCATCTGGAGCAAGAAGTGGACGAGAAGCTGTTACAGATGCACGCACTCGTGCAAGAAAAGTACCTCAACCAACCGGAAGAAGGCATCTTCAAGACGGTCGACTTGGGTCGCATCACCTCCTTCTTCACCTTGGATGTTATCTCCAAGATTGCCTTTGGCCAAGACTTTGGTTTTCTCGCCAATGATGAAGATCCCTTTGGCTATATCGAAAACCTCGCGCAGTTCCTGCCCGCCATCATTGTCTTTGGTGTCTACACGGAGCTGACGAACATTATGAAATTCCCGCTCATCAAATCCGCGCTGCCCAAGAACACGGACAAGCGTGGTTTGGGTCGCGTGATGGGATTTGCAACGGATCGTGTGCGGGAGCGATTCGGAAACAAGCCTGTCGTGCGACAAGACATGCTGGGCGCCTTCATCAACAAAGGTCTCACGCAAAGCGAATTGGAGAGCGAAACGCTCACGCAAATCACCGCCGGATCCGACAGTACGGCGAGCTCTCTCCGCTTGACGCTGCACTTCATTTCGACGAGCCCGCCGATATTGGAGCGTTTGCTGGCCGAAGCGAGAGCGGGAATTGCAGCGGGCAAGATTAGTCGGCCGGTGATCAAGGATGCCGAGGCGAGGACGTTGCCATATCTGCAGGCATGCATCAAGGAAGGCCTTCGCATGTATCCTCCAGTGACGGGTCTGCTGGCCAAACGAGTGCCCGATGGGGGTGCTCATATCGAGGTGGATGGCGTGGAGAAATTTGCTCCCGGCGGCACGCAAATTGGCTGGAATAGCTGGGGCATGATGCGGCATGAGAGCATCTTTGGCGAGGATGTGGAGATTTATCGTCCCGAACGATGGCTGGCGAGAGACGGCAGCGACAAGGAAGGAGCTCGTATCAGTCGCATGACCGATGTCGTGTCTTTGTGTTTTGGGTATGGCCGATTTGGATGTCTGGGCAGGGGAGTGGCGACGATGGAACTGAACAAGGCCATCATCGAGGTAAACAGGCGCGCCCCTGGTATGTGATGATTCGACTGAATGCTGACCTCTGTGGATCCAGACTCTGCTCCGATTCAACTTGCAGCCCTGCCGGCTCGATAAGCCCTTTGACGAGATGGTGGTGTACGTGTGACGGAAGCGACAATGCCTGAGTACGATTCCATACTGACATGTGGCACAGGGGCTTCTACGTCCACAACAACTTCAACTTTGTCATCTCGGAGCGAAAAGATGGCGCGGCGCAGAGTCAGCCCATTGAGGACTTTGGCTTCGAGGCGGGAGCCATTGATGGAGCACCGGACGAATGAAGAGGAGATTCACCGAGGCTGGAGCGGGAATGATGTGCTTTGGCCTTTCCCGGCGAGGCGTTTGTAGGTCAGCAAACCCAATGTCTAATGTTTTTGATCGTGGAATCCCACAAGAAACCTCGTCACCATCTCATCCGTTACTGAAATGAGTCTAGTTCTATTCGTGTATACTGTTCTGTAGACGGAAAAAGTTTCATCCTTTGTGGTATTTGAGAGCACCACCGGGACCACAAACACCGAGTGGGAAGAAGGCAACGAGCTTCGCCACATCTCCTACAACCTCGATCGTATCTCTGGCTGCTGCTGCTGCTTCTGAAACTCTTCATTCTCTTTCCTCAGAGGCTCGGCCTCGCCATATCGATCCACCTCCTCTGGCTTTCCTGGCCGATTGCTCTTCTTGGGTGCACTGTGATATCCGCCCTTGACATTATCCGAATTGACCACCCGGTCGTTCTCGTCTCGTACAATGCCCAGTTCCAACAACTTTGCAAAAGCCTTGGCAAAGTCCGCAAAGAACCTCTCCTTATCCCGAGCATACAGCTCCACCCACGGCCGAAAGCTCTCATCCTGCACGAGCGCCAAATCCGTGGGCAGCATCATCAATTCCTCCCCGGAGTCCTCATCATAATGCACAAACTGTCTTGTCCCATTCTCCAAGACCTTCTCCTTCCACTCCTCGGAAATCATCAATTTAAAATAGGTATTCGAAAACCTCGTGGGAGAATTCACCCAGGCACCCTCAAACCCCGATCGATCGGCATGACATCTCCCCAAATTATGCGCACCCGACAGCGCCACAATTTCCTGATCCCCAAACCCCATTCGATAAAACACGTCTCTCAAATGCTCACTCCCCTTCGCCCCATCAGGCAATCTCCCTCTCGGAGGAAGTTTACTATCATCCACAAAATCCGTCCTGCCGCCTTTCCATTCGCATCGCGGTCCACCCATAGCTTCCACAGCCACGACGCCCGCCAACGTCCACAAATCCGAATACGTAATGTGCTGGCCGTAGCGGGATTTGATCGGTTCGAGGAAGACGCGAGCGTGTTGCAGACCGGCGTTGGCCGGGTCGCCGCCTTCGGCTTCGTAGCGCATTCCTGCGCCGTTGCTGCCGCCTGTGTCGGTTGTGAGGGAGTAGGTTCCGCAGCTGTGCCAGGCGAGACGCACGAGGATGGGGCCCGCGCTGCCGTCGTCGTAGGTGGGTTGGGTGAGGAGGGTGTGGATGTCTTGTTTTATGGAGGAGAGGAGGGAGGGGGAGATGGGTTGAGACATGGTTTTTTTCTTTTGGTGGGTGGAGGAGGAAGAGGCTGGCTGTTTGCTGTGAGGGTTTGAGTGAGCGGTTCTCTTTTTTTTTAGAGAGATAGAGTGAATGGAGAATGGAGAAAATGAGAAACAGAATGAAATTCTATTTCTTTCCCACTTACGATATAATACCTGGCCTAGGTTTCGGTGGCAAAAGACCAATTGTAGAGGAGAGAGACGGAAATAATAGAGAAAAAAAGAGGCAAAGCGAGAGTCAGGTAAGTGATGACTCTTACTACTTACTCTGTTTCCATCCACACATCCACGATAACACATACCTTACCTTAACACTCCTCAGAACAAAACTCCCGTCATCGCCGCCGCCGCCGCCGCCGACGCCGCTAATCTCACAGTATCTCTCTTACCGGTCTGTTGACCGAATACGAAAACAAAAAACACGAAAACTATGCCTCGGCTCTTTTTTAGAAAAAAAAAGCCCCAAGGTCGGTCGTATCGTCTCTATCTGATTTCTTCATGTGATGGCATATGTAGCGAGATAAAAAAAGAACACTAGTGTAGCGTACTAATAAGTGTAGCGTATTGTAGTGTAGTAATCATCAAGCGGAAATGTTTGAAGATGAAGTCCGTCCCGACTCCCCAGGAGGTAAGGGGCCAAAGCTCGCTCGCTCGCTGGCTTTTTACTAGAAATGGGTTTAGTTCCATTCTTTCTCTTCATCGGAGGTCATTGTGGACGGATCGTACCGAGGACTAAGGACTTTCTGGTTTTTTTTTTCGTCTGCCCGAGATGATCCGAAGGGATTTTTGCAGATATAGGAGGGGATGACTGTCGGTGTGTTGAACTTGTTGGAAATTGACTACCGGTATCGGCTAGTATAATAGACTACCTAGAGTACTGGTAACCGATATCGGGTATTATGGTATATATGCAAGTTGGATACTCTTTATATATAAAGTGAACTTGGACGTTGCGAAGAATTATGTATCTTTTCGAGTATATATAGGTAAGAAGATATAACATTAATTAAATATGCTGAGTACGCTTGTTAGGCTAGAGTATATACATTAGGTTATTTTTCGAGAGCGATCTCGCTAACCGAAGAGGATTACTACCTAACTCCTACGACGCTACGCTACCGAGGTATATATATCTGTTTGGACAGAAGGATATAGGTGCCCTAGCATTATATAATATAAGTTATATAGACAATAGGGGCTACTAATTCCTTAGCGTTTGTATATAGAGTTAGGGATACCTACCCCCCTCTTATCTTTTCTAGACAGGTTAGACCTCTAATATTAATTGAACCTACTTTTCGGTTAGTACGGCTTTATCTCTATCTTAATTAGGCTAGTATAGTATATAGTTCTAACAGTTATAAGCCCGGCTAGCTCTGCTTAATCAATTAAAGGAATTAATTAAGTACTAGATAATTAGGATTACCTAATATCTCCTAGAATCAGCTAAGATTAGTCAAATTCCGCTATATTAAGACAACAACTAAGGACCGTATACTATTACTTGAATACCGGCCTAAACCCGTTTATCTAGAAGAAGAGAAGAAAGCCCGAGCCTATTAGATTAGCTTATAATCGATCGATCCCCGAGTCCTAAGTTTTAAGAAGTTGAAGAAATACCTAGTAGCTCGTATCCTAGGTATTAAGCTATTCTAGAGTAGTTTGACGAATTCAACGAATACACTATAGCTAATTCTCCTAAGCCCTTACTAACAACGACGACGTTAATCGCTAAGCTACGTACCTAGTAAGACTAGAATATATAGATTACCTATATTAAGAGGGAGGCAGTAAAGCTCTAGATATAGGCTAATATTAACCTAGAGACAGTTAAGCTAGATCTAACTAACCTAATACAGCTTAAAGGACAACCTGTCTTTAACTTTGCGTCTCTACCTACTAATGTTACTCTAATAGCTCTTAGTCTAGCTTAATTTAAGTATAGGTATAACAAGGATATATAGGAACTTAAGTAAAGAGGGTATTAGAAGATTGAATTAATTATTAACTATTCTCTCTCTACAGACCTTTAATATAGGGTAATTAATTGTAAGACAATTAGGCAGATACTTAAGACTCTCTTAGAATATACTAAGCCTAATACCCTTACTACTACCTAGTTGCTAAAGAAAGAGATAGAAGTCCTATCTTACCTACTATATAGAAAGTCTATTTAGGACTATATATACCTTTGGTTCGTTTAGTATAGAAAGAGAGATACTGTTAGCAAGTAAGCAAATAATAAGTTAACCTAGGTATAGTTGTCCTCTATAGCTCTAATATATAGAGACTATATAGCTACAAGGATAGGCAGGCTACTTGATAAGTAGAATAATAGGGAGGTAACAACTCTCTATTTAGAATTAAGAGCCTAGTAGTCCTACTTTTAATATAATAGCGATACTAAGTTTAAGAGCAAGTACCGAACTACTGTTACTACCTCCTCTATAGCTATAGCCGAGTCTTCGTCCTTAACCCGATTATCCTCCTCTTTAAGAAAGCTCTACCTCTATAGTAGGAACTATATATAGAAGGAGTACTACTATCTTAATACCGAGTACCCGAGGCCTAATACCTAGAAGCTAAGAGAGGATACTAAAAAGAAGATTAAGAAGAGGTTCAAAGAAGATAAGAGTTTAAAGGAGAGAGTAGATAAAGCAATTCAAGCCTACAATACTACTTAAGGGTTAAAGGATAAAGGAAAGGACAAGTTAGGCTTAGCTATAGAGATCGAGGATACTGCTACGGCTACTACCCTAGAATCAAGTTCCTTCCTAGAATCGACCCCTAATCCTGCTTCTATTAGTTTAATTAGCTATACCCGCCTTTATAACGCTGTAATTCTTAATAGAGGGGCTAATGTTTATATTATTAACGAGGCTATAAGGGCAAGGATCGTTAAGTCCGAGTTACTAACCTCCTCTAATATAGTGATCTCTAGGGATAAGAGGTACTAACCTAAGGCAATTGTAGATACTACTATTAACCTTAATATAGGGAATAGAGTAACTAGGAAGCTTACTCTTCTTAAGGCAAGGCTTATTCCGGGATTCTTTACAAGTTTGATCTTACTATAGATCCTTAACAAAAAGGGGATTTACTATAATACTAGAAACTGGCTAGACAAGTTAATTACTAGCTAATTATATAAGGAGCCTAGGCTCTAGGTATACCTTACCCCTAAGCATAGTAATAGACATAGTTACTAGATTATTAAACGGTTGCCTGTACTAAGAAGTGTTACTAGAACTACTGGTTTACCTAGAAAGGCTAGAATTAGTACTAGAATTAAGGAGGTAAAGTCGGTATATACCCTATACTCTAAGAATACGGGGAAGTCAACCTTACCTACCTTAACGTTACCTACTAGAATAGATACTAGGTCTACTACTGCTGTACAATCCAGTTACTAACTACTCCTACCTTTAATAGTAACGGCTAATCAATAGTACTAGTTGCTAGGCTACCTATCTGTAAGGGCTATTAAGCACTTAAAACCTGTATCTAAGGGTTACTAGGTAATTGAGTTAGAGAAAGAGGTTTTAAATAGTATTATCTATAATACCTGCTTACTAGCTAAGGCTAAGGTAGTAATTTCGAGAAGAAAAGACAAGTATAGAGAGGTACTGCCTAAGGCAGAGAATGCTAAGATAGCTATCTGTTTATAGGACTTGATTAATATACCCCCTTCTCTCCCTAGACTAAATAGGTTAGTCTTCAAGTTTTATAGCTACTAGTTCTATAACTAGGAAGGCTATTATATTAGCGAACCTATAGTAACCAAACTACAAGTAGTTACTAAGTTCCTAGGATACTTTAAAAGGATAGAAGTAACCTTTAATACTAAAACTATCCTAGTTCGCTATAATATAGAGGTAACTATTAGAAAGGATACTAGCAAAGCTATTACTAGATAGGGGATAACTACTTTACCTACTACTACTAGTACCCCTGCCTAGAATAGAGTAAGTAAGGTAGCTAGAAGAGAGATTGTTACTAAATCTAGGACTCTTAGAATTGATAGTAGGTTACTAAAGAACCTATAGCTATAGCTCCTAGATTCAGTAGTATATCTACTTAATAGAACCCCTACTACTAAGCTTAATTAGATAACTCTATTTAAGAAAGCTACTACTAAGAAGCCCTTCCTTAGCTATCTCTACCCTATTAGATACAAGGCCTTCGCTCTCCGCAGAGATATTACTAGGAGAGACAAGATAGAGAATAGAGCTTATATTAGGTATCTGATTAGGTATACCTCTACTAATATTTTCTAGATCTGGATTCTATCTCTAAACAAGGTAATTAGGACGAGAGATATAGCCTTTAAAGATAATAAGAGGTATAATCTACTTAATATCAATAGTTAAACCCTTAGAGAATTAGTACCTCCTGCTATTTATTAATCTATAATTAAGTCAATCTCTATACCTAAGGAACCCCTAACTTCTAATAGTTCTATAGATAACCCCTTCCTAGCTAATAATATTCCGATCTTTGCTATCTAACCTTAGGGAGGTAGTAAATAGTAGGGAGGTAAACAGGAATAGGAGTTATTATATCTAACTCCGCTAGAAACACCCGCTAGAGATAAGGACAATATAGCTACTAACTAAGTTAGTTAGGCTCCGGGGGCCTTACCGGGTATACCCGCTTCTTTATTAACCTCCGTTTTTTCGGTCTCTTAACAGCACCCTACCTTAGATAGGGAGGTAGAAGAGAGTACCTATTAGTATAGTATAGGCAACTATAGACGATAGATCGACTATAGAACTAGACGGTTAGAAGATTACCTAAATAAGTTAAGTTATATAGCTGCTACTTCCCTCTAGGCTTACAATCTACCTACTCTTAAGGATCCTTACTAAGTAATAAGTATACTATTACCCCCTACTAACTAGAAAGAGATAGAAAGACATATCTATTATTAACAATTCAGGCAAGTAGCATTTAATAAAGCTAGAAAGCTTATAGGCAAAAGGACATTTAGGGTATTCTTTAGTTATAAGGGCTATAAGGTACCTTTAGTATAGGTATTTGCCTATAAGACAGACCTAACTAGTAGTAAGATTCTTAGGTACAAGGCTAGGCTTTGTATCCGTAGGGATCTTCAATTGCTATTAACCTATAAAACCTATACTACTATACTTAGTTATAAGGTATTTAGGGCTATTACTGCCCTAGCCTTTATAAGGAATTTGAAGACAAGGCAATAGGATATAGTAAATACCTTCCTAAATGCTACTATCCCTTATACTATCTATTGTTCTATCCTAGAGGGAATAGAGGAATATAGATTTGGTCTAGATACCTGCTTTATCCTTAAGAAGGCTCTCTATAGATTAGCTAAATTACCTCGCTTATAGTATAACCTATTTGTTATAAGAATAGAAGACTATAGGTTTAAGTTAGTTCCTAGAATTGACTGCTTAATAGTAAACATAGATCTCCGCCTACTTATAATATTCTATATAGATAATATTAGGTTAATTTATAAGAGGGATAGGGAGGATTAAGCTATCCTATTTAACTAGTACCTACTTTCTAACTTTGAGGTTACTTAGAAGGACCCTACCTTCTTCCTAGGTATAGAGGTAGAGGAATTACCTAATATCCTAACTCTAAGCTAGACTGCCTACTTAACGAAAATTAGTATCAAATTTAGTGTTTATAAGAGGGCTCGATTTCTAGATACACTACTTCCTACTAGAAACCTAGAACCTACTACTAATACTACTAGACCTGACTTTATTAAAGGATATTAGATAAAGGTTAGTTTAATTAGTTATATAGCTGTTTTAGTAAGGCCAGATATAGCAAAGGTATATACTACCCTTTCTTAATTCCTAAAGAATCCGAGTTAAGCTTATATAGAAGCGGCTAACTACCTGATTGCCTACTTATATAGAACTAGGGACATAAAGTTGCACTTCTATAGAGAGAAGCCTAAGATAGAGCTTTATATAGATACCTTATTTAGTAACAACCTAGATAGGAAGAGTTCTTAGGGTTTTCTAATAATAATGTATAGTAGTACTATTAATTAGCAAGCAACTAAGCAGAAGACAGTTACTAAATCGACCGTAGAGGCAGAGTTATTAGTACTCTTATCAATTGCTAGTAATAGGTACTAGTAGACTCGACTTTTCTCTGAATTTGATAAGGTATTTCTACCTCTACCTAGAAATAAGCTATCTAAGGAACCTGTTAAGGATAGAACTATAGGTAGAACTAAGGTTTTCTGTAACAACTAACGTACAGTAGATATCGCTAATTATAAGTATAGTTTACTCAATACGGCTTTAAGGTATATTAATATCTATTAATACTAGGTAAGGTAGGAAACTATAGCAGGAAGGTTAACCGTTAAATAGATTAGAACAGCAAAACAGCGAGCTAATAGCTTTATAAAGAACCTCCTAAAGGGGTTATTCTAGTTATTCCGGACAAGCCTAGGGCTTAGGTAAGTAGGTATAGTCGATTATTAGATTAGTATAGACAGTTACTATATCTAGCTTATTAGCTTTTCTTATATAATTAAGCTAAGGGAGGTATATTTAGACAGAAGGACATAGGTGCCCTAGTATTATATAATATAAGTTATATAGATAACAGGGGCTACTGATTCCTTAGCGTTTGTATATAGAGTTAGGGATACCTACCCCCCTCTTATCTTTCCTAGACAGGTCAGACCTCTAATATTAATTAAACCGACTTTTCGGTTAGTACGGCTTTATCTCTATCTCAATTGGGCTAGTATAGTGTATAGTTCCAACAGGGGCTAAAGCTCGCTCGCTTGCTAGCTTTTTACTAGAAATAGGTTTAGTTCTATTCTTTCTCTTTATCGTCGGAGGTTATTATAGACGGATCGTACCGAGGACTAGGACTCTAAAGGGATCTCTTTTCGTCTGCCCGAGATAATCCGAATGAATTTGCGGATATAGGAGGGGATAAGATACAGGTCGGGGTTAGGGTCGGTCTAGTGCAGCAGTCGACTGTCGGTGTATTAAAACTTGTTACTCGGCTAGTTGATATTGGAAATTGACTACCGGTATCGGTTGGTATAATAGACTAGGTACCTAGAGTACTAGTAACCGATATCGGGTATTATAGTATATGTGCAAGTTGGACACTCTTTATATATGAAGTGAACTTGGACGTTGCGAAGAATTATGTATCTTTTCGAGTATATATAGGTAAGAAGACATAACATTGATTAATTATGCTGAGTGCGCTTGTCAGGCTTGAGTGTGTGCATTAGGTCATTTTTCGAGAGCGATCTCGCTGACCGAAGAGGATCACTACCTAACTCCTACGACGCCACACCCCCCGAGGTATATATATCACATGAGGATATGAGGTGAACTCGCCAAAGGAGGGATGTCGAAATTGACGCTGACCGTGGAGAAGTTGACACCACCTCCTTCATGCTCTCCAATTCCCTCCCCTACCATAGCGTGTCGTAGCCATCATCTGCCTCATGTGTCTTTCTATCTCTTCACCCCTCAGATCCACTACCTGCCTACTCTTCTTCATAACAACAGCACGGATCGAGTTCGTCGCAATCCATATGCCAGCCCTTCGAGGCCCACGGAATGTTGAAGCATCCTGTCTGTCTGTCTGTGGCTCTTTTCCCTCGGCATGAGGAGGTTGCGGGTATGCGCTATTCCGCAGACGTGGTCAGCTCAAAATCATAGTACTGTATCAGCAGCAGTCAAGGCCACTATTGATGCGATGCTTGTAAGCATTGGTTCGTCAAGAGAGACTGAGGGCTTCACGATGCTGTCCAATATGACCCCTATCGTTGAGGGCAAAGTTTAGGATTGCTGTTACGTGGCGTTCTCAGAGTCGCAGTATCTGACCAAAGGCAACGAGGGATGGCGACTTGGTGATTATCATACTTTTTCATGGTTCGTGATGTTGGAGCAGGTCCCTCGTCGATATCACACTTGGCGGCGTGCTGAGCGCGGAGGAGAGATCTGTAAGCGCCGCGGGACCACCCGTCTGCAGTTCACTTAGTTCTACATTTACGCGCCCACTTCTTCACCAATCATCTTGTCAGACTGCACTTCGCCAACATCTCCCACAGCCAGTCCGTGATGGCCAGCGTGCTCGAGATATTATACATGGCGAGGGTCCCGCGTGTGCTTCGGCCGCGTGCACAGTAGGTTTGCTGGTCAACATCTCCTTGTCACTCCATCCCTCCCTGCAAGTGGTCTTTCTGTTGCATTGTATAAAGCGCAAACCCTTCGCGCGAGAAGAGCGTGGTCGAAAATGGGTCGGGGTGGTGCTATTCACCTCAGCTACGCAGCTCTGGTGCTCCTCTCACAGGCAACAGGAAGCAGCGCAGGTCTCTGGACGGTGGACATCAATCACAGCCCGGCACCTCCAGCAGAATCCGGACCGCCCTTTTCCGCGCACGCATCACGAGATCGAGATCTACTGCCATACCAGGTGGTGGGGGTTGTCAGCGCATACGTGGGCTCGGTGCTTATTATTGGGACGCTGCTACTGACCTGGGGCCGCAAGCTTCGAAAGCGAGCCCTCAACATGGTGATCGAAAAGCCCACGGAACTGGTGAAGCCCACCAAGAACATGTTTGATATCAACTCGCCATCAAGCCCCGTGGGAAGCGTGAGAGGGTGGATCGGGCGGAAAAAGAGGACGGCAGACAGTATACGAAGCGGCAGGAGTACTTTGCGCTCGCCGGGAGGGGCAAGCGTTGCCACATTTGATGATCACGTTGTGGAGCAGCACAAGGCAAGGCAGAAAGATGATCTGGCGCGAGTCTACGGCGCAGTCTTTGAGCATGAAGACTCTACAGCTCCTCCCTATTCTGCAGAGGACACGCATAGCGCCCGTGCGAAGTCTGGCCCGCTGCGGCATCTGGACATGGACCGTGTGAGGGATGCTGGTGGTCCATCCGCTCGGAGTCCTCAATCGCCCACATCGCCATATCACGCCAAGAATGTTCTTGCGCAGCTTTCACCGAGATATAAGCTGGATGCACCTCGATCTCCGATGCATGAAACTAGTGACGGCCGAGCAGCTTCGCACGGGAATCGGACAATCGACTCTTCTCCGGGCAAGTTGCGCAAGAAATTCGTCAATCTTAATCTGAACAATATTGGCTCGCCGATCAAGAGCCTACGTGACAACGACGACGGCGCACGGGAGCCATTATCACCCAAGTTGTATACGAATCCAGGTGCTCCACCACCAGAACCACCGTCTACTCGAACAGCAGAGACTTTTCTTTACTCACCTACAACGCCTGGCACAGGTAGAAGCTTTGCATTCACCGAAGAAGAAGAGCATTTCGATCATGTCCGCGATCTGCCCTCGGCACATCCTCAGCGACGCCCAGGCTTGATCAGTGAGAGCCAGCCCCCTCTGAGTCCATCGAGTCCTGGGCTCCCTTCGAGTCCGGCCCAGTTCCGAGTGGGATCACCGCCTCGCCGGGGCCCAGCAGCACCTGCGGGCAACATTGACCGGCCTCTTGCGCTTCGACAATTCAATGAGCAGCAGAAACAAATGCAACAGAGTACCGTCAGCCTTGCATCTCCCACTACCGCCCGCCACTTCCCCTTATCGCCCGTGGGAGCGTGGAATACTCGAGCGGGTGGTCTCCTCTCCCCTCCGATTCAGCAGACGGTGTTGCACACCAAAGGTGTGGACCGAGGGCTGACGACGCCGGGCGGTACTCTGGAACAGTTGCCGTATAGTCCTTACTTTCCGAATCAGTTGGTGACGCCTGTCACACCGCACTTTACGACGAGGGCGGAACGCAAGCAGAAGGAAAAGGAAGAGAAGACGACTCGTGGTGCGATTACGGAAGAAGATCAAGTCAAGGACGATAAAGACTTGTGGCGGGATGGGTATGATTGATTTTTTCGTGGTAGTGTATACAGTACCTAGATGTAATTGTGATGAGATATGACTTTGTTTACCTCCTATGAATTGATCTTCTTCTTTCACCTCAGCAGTACACAGATACCTACTAGGTACGGTAGGGTAGGTAGGTAGGTACGTGTACAGGTACATGTATACCTCACGGTCGCATCACGTCGCTTTTAATCAAATATTTAGATGGCATTGGTTGGATTGGAAGTAGGTATGAAACTGCATACCCTCGGGTCAATGGCTCGACCCCGCTCGGTGCCCGCATTTCAATTTCCCCCCCAACACCAAGAAGTCGAAGAGGAGGAGAGAACAGTGCAGAGACGAGAGGTAGACTCTCTCGACTTTTTCATTACATGTTCCTGCTTCTTGTTCTGTTTTGTATAACAATGAACATGATGCCACTGCTTGCCTATCTAGGTACATATGCATGTGGTGAGAACTTATACCTATACCTATACTAAGAAGCTACCTTACCTTAAATACGGTAAACCACGATTCAGATGGATCATGCGAACCTGAAGCTTGACGAGATCACCTGACCTTTTCAACTGCCTACTTCCTACCTACCCTCCTACCTCCTACTGGATGATAGGGGGAAAAGAGAAAGGAAGAGGCGCGGAGCCGAGACGAACCGTGGGAGCAGTTGGTCACTGGCGGTTGAAATATTGTGGGTCATGATGCACTCTTTGAGTCTCTTTTTTTCCCGCCAGCGAAACGGCAGATACGGTATTCGAAAAACAAAAAAACGCGCCAGCCGGCCCAGCCAGCCTAGGTCGATTCTGTTTATTCTGCCGCGATAATCCAAGGGGACGGAACGATTGCGGTTACCGGTTGGCGGTTATGATGGCGACGGCGACGGCACACCCGTGCGCAGCCCTCCCTCCCTCTCTCTCGTATTCGACGACAACTCAATCCCACGGGCACCCACGGGGCGGCAAATACGATGATGGGATTTTTTAGAATTTGGGGAATGGGACAGGACTACCCCGACGAAGGACATGTTCTGAGATGTTCTTCTTCTTACTGTACCCGACCAGCCCTGTGCGACCGTACGTAATCAATCTGATACGCGGCAGTGACAGCTGGCGACACAGGCGACGATGAGATGAGATGAGACAGACCATCCTTCGGTCCGCGGGCGTGCTTTACCGGCTAGTGTGTCACGTGTGTACACTACACCCCGGGTGGATAATCGAGGATAAGAAGAAAAACGATATCAAGTTATCAACCGTATACTGCGGCAGACCACCCCCCACAAAAGCAGCGAGGCGCAAGTCCCTCAGCATCCCACACACAAATGCGATGTTTTGCGCAAGATTTCGCACGAGTCGTAGAGAGACGGTGCAGTGCAGTGGACAAGCCAATGATTGCGGCGAGTTGCAAGCCTCAAGATACGGAAACTTCCAACGGACTCCAAGCCGCTTCCCCCTAGTCAGCGGAATCTAACCTTGTTCCGGTTGAGCTCCAGTTTTCGACGTCAGCATTCTCTCACAAGCCCCCCAGAAGAGCCTGAGCTGAGCTCTCCCAGCCTTGGTCTACCGGCCCTTGTGTGTGTGTGTGGTACCTCCTAGAGGCCCATGGCGAAGCTGCACAAAATGTCATCAAATTGTGCACGCCTCATCAAGCTCATTATTATTGTTGTTTTTGTAACACTCTCTCTCGAGTCTCTCGAGGACTGATGTTGCTGCACACAGCATAATAATGATAGGGAGATATGATGTCGGAGGAAGTCGGAGGCTGTCAAGCTTGGACTTGGGAAGAACCTGACCGGCGGGGCGGCCGGGAGTCGCAGACAATGAAGCCCGTCCTCTCCGCTCCGGAGGCCCATCAATGGGCGTCTATGCTCGTCGATGGCAGAAGGGTCGCGGCGCGCGCACGTGGAGGCGGAAAAGGGTAGACCTGTGGTGGGAGCGTCGCGCAGTCTCGTCAGCAGCGGCGCACAGCAAAAGGGTCGCGTCGCCCAAGAGGAAAGCTACTGGTGGTGGTGAGGGCGCACGGCGGTTTATATGTCTATGGGCCTCGTCTTGTTGAGACGGGCAAGGCCGGAGAGCAGACTGGTCGTGATACCAACCACCACGCCGCCGTCGGGCCAGGAGGATGACAGCCAATCACAGCCCTCGACACGGACAGGTGCGCAGGGGGTCCGAGCTCCCTTCCCCTAGAACAAAACAGGCCGACGATTAAGCGTGCCTTCTTGCGCAAAATCTGCGCTCGCACTCTTTCCTCTCCCACACTTTCCCCGTGACAAGACCGTTCAGTCTCTTTCCAGCTCCGTCGTCCATCCATCACCAAACCTCGCTCTCCCTCTCCGCTCCATCCATCACCGACACCCCCCCTCCCCATCAACTTCCATCTCCTCCATCCCGTGACAGCTTCCATTTCCATCACCGCCACCACCATGTCTTCCTCTCTGCGCATGGCCGTGCCCAAGATGGCCTCTGTGGCCGCTCAGAGCACCACCAAGGTCGCTCGTCCAGCTCAGTTCCAGCACTTCACCCGCGCCTACTCTGGTAAGCTCTCCTAACTCCCCCCATGGCGAGCACTGAGAGCTCCCAATGGAGCTTGCCAATAGCTTCATTCCGCTGACGAGAACCCTCTCTCCCACCCCCCAAACAGCTGCCACCCGCAACACCGCCACCTTCAACACCATGAAGCGCACATCCACCATGCTTCAGGCTGCCCGCACCAAGGTCTCCCCCATCGGTGCCCAGGCCAAGCGCGCCTACTCCTCCGAGATGGCCAACGCCCTCGTCCAGGTCTCCCAGAACGCATGTCTCCCCTCCCCTCTCTGTCTGTGATGGATGATGATGATGATGATGATGACAATGGCTAATACCTGGATAGCTCGGTATGGGTAGCGCTGCCATTGGTCTCGGTGGTGCTGGTATCGGTATTGGCCTCGTCTTTGCCGCCCTCCTCAACTCGGTCGCCCGCAACCCATCTCTCCGTGGTCAACTCTTCTCCTACGCCATTTTGGGTTTCGCTTTCGTCGAGGCCATTGGTCTCTTCGACCTCATGGTGAGTCCCGCTTTCCTGGCGCCGAGCAAAGTCACGTGCTAACTCTTGTCACAGGTTGCCATGATGTGCAAGTACGTTTAAGCGACTCGAATTACAGCATAGCGGGATCCCTTTGGCCGGAGTATTGTAACAGTAACGACCAAGAGCATCGGGGAATAGACTCCACGAGAGAAGAGAGGTCTACAAGGCGGTATCTGCGCGCTCAGTCGAAGCTGACACTCCTGTACATACTCGACTACTCCGAGCTTGGCTCGACCCTCCTCATAGCATGAGGAAAAACCACTTCCATTTGTCCTGTCTTTCTCCATCTCTTGATTGGTGATTCCACCCTCTTTTCTCACATTTGGGGGGAGGCCGAGTTGG